TCTGTAGATGTCTTTCCATCAAATGATGAGGTCTGTGTATATCTCCTTGAGTATGTCTGTCCCCGAGGTCCCTTACGCCCGATCCTCTGTCCCGCCCTCCTACCCCCGTTTCCCTTGCTCTTCATTCCACACCTCGACGCTGTATCGCCGCCGCACCCCGCCTCGCCGTTGGCTTGCCCGCTTGGCGCGCTGCATAGGCGACCTCTTGGTGTGCATAATGATCATGAGCTCAAGGCCGCAATGGGGGTGGTGTTGTGTTGCGGGTTATGAACCGGCAATATGTTGGATATGACTCGCTCATTCGCCACACCTCTCCTACTTCTGTAGAAAGTGGAGAGGTTGATGTGCTGATTGGTAACAAGCGTTGTGCTTTCCTCCTGTTTTCCTTTCCTTCCAATATTATGCGAGGAGCGTTGGGAGGAGACAAGGAAGATATGTTGACGTTGAAAGCCGACATTTTTGTGTTTGTTTGTACGGGTGAAGCATCCTCGTCCCCTTTGGATGAAGGGTTGGTTTTTGCTGTGTTCTTTTCCTCTGAAGAGAACCGCCGCCTGAGTTGATCCTGTGAGGCGCTTTGCGCCCGGGACCTGTCATTCCAGTCGTTTCTGAGAAGGAGGTGGTGCTGGATGGCCCGAAAGAAGCTTGAACCCACTCGAGTGGTGTGTCAGTGGGTGTGAAAATGAGGGAGATGGCCCTGCCGAGATACAACGCATGATGGGCCACCGGTAAAAATTCAAATATCTTCCCTTATCCTGTATTGCACAGTCATGTATGTTTGAAGTTAGTCCCACTCGCTCATCCAGCAACACCCACTCTCATTCTGTTACTCGCTCGAAGTGCCTATTAATCGGGCGAGCACCTTAGGTAGATTAGATAGATTATCAATGCACAGCATCTGATCTCGAGACGACGACGCCCAACGTGACTGACTACTCGTGTGTTTGATAGTGGAAGCATGTAGCTATGGAAGCCTTGGGGTGGCGCACGTGGCTGGACCCTGGCCAAAGCTCCGCGGCAATGACGATGGACCGCCGAGCTCCAGGCGCATGCCAACACCCATGGAGCTTCCCTTTGGCACAGCAGCCGTCGCATAGCGACTCGACCATGCCCAAATGATATCCAAGTCGACGCAATAGCCACAATGCTCTCTGCCTTTACTGCCCGGCCCATTGTCGAGCTCAAGGCGCGCGACAAGTCGAGGATCGAGTCCATCCTCGCATACGGTACAGCAACCGACTGTATCGCATCTCAAGCGTACTAACATAGCCAGGCGACCGTGTACTTGTTGGCCTGAACACGGGTGCTCTGCGCATCTACCGTGTGAATGACCAGATCGAGGATGTAGAAGCCGACCGCAAGCAGAACGGCGACCACAACGGTGAAAGCGAGCCTCCAACAGCACCCAAAGCCAGACCCGCCGATCTCCTACGCGAAGAAGAGAAGTTCTCCCGGCGGCCGATACAACAGCTGGCGATTATCAAAGAAGCGAATATCCTCGTCTCGCTGTCGGACAACTATGTCTCGATACACGATATACAGACGTACCAGCTGCAGGAGAAGCTAGAGAAGACTCGGGGTGCGACTACCTTTGCGGCGGCAAGCAACATCGTCAAGGACCCTTCGACGGGCATACCATCCATTGTGAGCCACCTGGCTGTGGCGGTGAAGCGGAAGATCATACTGTGGACATGGCAGGACATGGAGTTGACGGGCGACGCGGTGGAGATCTCGCTCATTGCTTCTGTCAAGAGCCTGACGTGGGCGACAGGGACAAAGATTGTCGCTGGCATGGATCCCGGCTTCGTCATGGTTGACATCGAGACGCAGGAGGTCCAAGACATAATCAAGCCAGGCGCGCTGGCAGAGAATGGGAGCCAGGGCGGAGCACGTTTCGGCGCTGTCTCGTCGTCAGGCATGGGATACATGGGCATGGGAAGTTGGGTGCCCAAACCCCTCGCGACACGACTTGGAGAGGGCGAATTGTTGCTGGCCAAGGACGTCAACAGCCTGTTCATCGACACAGACGGAAATGCCCTCGAGAAACGACAAGTGCCCTGGCAGTCTGCCCCTGAGACAATCGCTTATTCGTACCCGTATATGCTCACACTACTGCCACCGTCCAAGGGCAGTCTGGAAGTCAGGAATCCGGATACGCTGAACTTGCTACAGATGATCTCACTACCAAACGTCAGCTTCCTTCACGTGCCGCAGCCCAACATCAGTCTAGCCCACGCCGGGAAGGGTTTCCTCGTTGCGAGCGATCGATGTATATGGCGGATGGGAGCGCAGAGTTATGAAACACAGATTGATGAGCTCGTCGCCAATGGGCGCTACGATGAGTCGCTAAGTCTGCTGAATATGCTCGAAGACACTCTGCTCCTTGATAAAGAGGAGAGGGTTCGGGAGATACAAATCCTGAAAGCCCAGGCCTTGTTCGACCAGAAGAAGTACCGTGAAGCCATGGAACTCTTCGTCGACGCCAAAGCACCGCCTGAGCGCGTCATCGCAATGTACCCCCGATCCATCGCTGGCAATCTAGCGCCAGAAGAAAGCGTAAAGGGCGACGGAAGCGTGGCCGACGAGGAAGAAACCAACGGAGAGAAGCCCGCCAAAGAACAAGAAGAAAGCACACCCGCCCCTGTAGCTACCATCGGCCGCTCAATGATGGGTCGTTTCGGCGTTGGAGGACACAAGAAAGTCGATTCGGACACGGCTTCCATACGCACCAACTCGGCCAAAGACGACACCATGGAAACAGCCAGCATCCGGAAGAGACCAACAGACCCCTCCTCCCAGCCAGATAAACCCGCCGCCGCTGAAAAAGAGTTCAAAGACTCTGTTCGCGCGCTACAGTCGTTTCTTACTCAATGTCGTGTCCAGATCAAACGGTATATAGACACCGATGGTAATCTGAAGGAACCTCTCCCTACGCCCAGTGGCAGTCAGCTCGAAGCTGATAAACCACCCTTCCACATTTTCATCGAAGAGTCCTCCCTCACGTCTCCCATAGACTGGAAAGCCAAGCTCCTTGACATTGCCCAGCTCGTCGACACAACGCTCTTTCGCGCGTACATGATTGCGAATCCCAGTGTCGCAGGCTCTCTATTCCGTCTCCCCAACTTCTGCGAACCAGACGTTGTGCAGGAGAAACTGTACGAGACGGGGCGGTATGCCGATCTGATTGATTTCCTGCATGGTAAGCAATGTCCTTGTCCAAGTGCTTGTGATGCATACACTAACTTTGTACATGTGTGTTTAGGCAAGAAATTGCATCGGCAAGCTCTGGAGCTTCTCGAGAAATTCGGCAAGAACGAGGCGGACGAAGAGGTGAGTCCGCAGTTGCAAGGCCCGACTAGGACGGTGGGCTATCTACAAGCATTGCCGCCAGAGCTTATCGATCTTATTCTGGAATACGCGGAATGGCCACTGAGGATTGACCCGAAGTTGGGCATGGAAGTCTTCCTCGCTGATACACAGAATGCGGAGGAGCTGCCGAGGGACCGTGTCCTTGAGTTTCTGCAAAAGATTGATACAAGACTTGCGGTCAGATACTTGGAACATATCATCGAAGAGCTCAACGATCTTAACGTGGACTTTCATCAGAGACTTGTTGATCTACTCCTGGAAAGACTCAAAAGTAGGGAATTTGACAACGACGAGGAAAAGATGGATTGGAAGCACAGGCTTGAGGTTTTCCTGAAGAAGGGGAATGCGCAGTACAATCGGTATAGGGTGTTTCAGCAGTTGCCTGGGAATGGTATGCATCATCATCTCCGACAAGAAAGAAGATCACAGTAGGAACAGCTTTACTGACATGGTGACAGATCCGGATTACTACGAAGCTCGAGCCATCGTCCTGAGCAAAATGGGATCGCATAAGCAAGCCCTGGCAATCTATGTCTTCCAATTGAAGGACTACCAAAAAGCTGAAGAGTAAGTCGCTTAACCCAATCTTCTTGGTAGCAAACCATTTGACCCGCCAACCAATAGATACTGCAACCAGGTCTACACGGCACCACCCACCACACCCGCCTCGCCCAACTTGTCCCACTCCCAATCCCCTCCGGCAACAAGAGGCTCAATCGAAGACACGGAGCTATCCATCTACCACGTCCTGCTCTCCCTCTACCTGCAACCCCCACCGCCGCACCAACCAAACTGGCCCCCAGCTCTCGACCTCCTCTCGAAACATGGCGCAAGACTGCCTGCAGCAACTACTCTAGATTTGATTCCCCCGACTCTGCCCGTCAAAGACCTCGAATCCTACTTCTTCGGGCGCATACGAAATGCAAACTCGCTCTTGAACGAAGAGAGGATAGTCGCGCAGCTCCGCGGCGTAGAAAAGGTCGCTGTGGAATCGGCCGTGTTGCTCGGCCCAGAGAGTAAGAGGGACATGTACGGTAGGAGCGTGCCTGGGGGGTTGAACAGGCGTGTCGTTATCGATGAGGATAGGCATTGTGCGGTTTGCCATAAGAGGTTTGGTGGGAGTGCGATTCGTGTCTTTCCAGATAACAGTGTGGTGCATTCGGGATGTATGAGGGGGAGCGTGGGGCTGGGGATCGGTGGTGTGGGAGGGGGGAGGAGGTCGGCGAGTGGGGTGGGTGGAAGCGGATGGCGGTAGGCAATCGTAGTTGTAGTGCTCAATCTTCATCGACGACTTCTTCTCCATACGTCTCCTCGTCTTTTGCGTCGTCGGCGGCCTTGTCGTCGGCCATTTTTTGAGTGAGAAATTCGTTGACGTCTTTTTGGAGGGTCCGGAGAGATGATGAGAGAGAAGTGAGGTATGCGACGCGGTCGGTGGTTGAGGGTGGTGATGGCAGTGCGGGGAGTTCGGAGGTGAAGGTTTGTGGTGGAGAGGTAGGGGATGTGTATGTTGCTGTTAGAGAAGGCATGTTGGCGTGATGGGTGTCTTGTTTGGATGTGGTGTTGTAGTGGATGAGAGGAGGAGTCTGAGGTGGGGTCAAGCGGCCCAGTACCGGGGTGGAGACAGCACGGCCACCATGCGTCGATCAACCAACGGCGCATCTAACGAACATGGACGTCAGCTCTTCCTGCGACTTGACGACCCGACTCGATGCTTGGATAGCGCTGCATCTGCTACGCTTCTTCATGCAGGCCATGAGGAAATACGACTAGGAGCCTATTTTTTCTTCCCTCTTCCCGTATACCCGTATATTCACTTCTCCACCCATACACCTTCTCTTCAGCCACCGCCTCTATACCTTGTCCCTGCAACAGCCACACGCCCGTCGCAAAAGCAACGGACGGGGTCTCACAAAGGGCGGCGACCACGATGCCTCCCTCTTCACCACCCCCAATCACCCCCTCGATTCGACGCCCATCGCTCGACGACTCCGACTCGGACGGCTCCCAGGCGACGCTGCAGCAACAACGCCGCTCTCCCCTCCCCGCCGCCATACTCTCGCCCTCGTCGGCAAAGTCGCCGACATCAGCAGACTCGCGCGCCGCTCCAGCGCAGAACTACTCGCGTCCAGGCATTGTGCGCGATGCTACGCAGAGTTCAGGCCACATTGGCGCGCATCTAGGACACCGCCCACGCCAGCGCTCCCAGGGCTATTTCGAGCCCAGTTTGAGCTCCATGAAGGAGGGCTCCATACGCGACCGAGACAACACCATGGCCTCGCAGACAAACCTTACCGCTTCCCAGATTGCTGCCCAGGCCGCCTATGCCTCGAATCCTCAGCACAATCGCAAGCGCTCCACCACCATACCAGCTCCGAGTGAAGCTGCGCCTACCGGACGCGGCCAGCCCATGAGTCCGCCACCCATGCCGGCTAATTCCCAGGTCACATTTAGAACAAACGGCATGACATATTCGAATGGTGTCATGGGAGGCAGGATGGCTGCAACGAGTGCTGCCAACGCCGCGTTTCCTCGCAGTCCGCTGAACTCGCCTGGCATTGAGGGACAGCAACAACAGCAACAGCAGCCACACGCATCGCCCAAGCCAGCCTCGTCGACGCCCGAGCTGCCGCAACTGCAGAAACCGAAGGAGGGGAAGAGCAGGCTAGGCGGGAAGCTGTTCTCGTCCAAGCCCAAGAACATCAAGGTGGACAATATGCTGAGCGGCAAAGACCAGGCATTGCCGTCGCCAGGGAAGATTGGTATCGGCATTCATAGCTCGCAGGCGCTGAATCGCATGATGATGGCAGGCTCGACGACGAGTTTAGTCGACTCGGGAACCAACAGCAGTAACGCTTCGCTGTATTCGTCCGCCAACGCATCGACGTCTACACTGGTACCCCCACGGAACGACTCCCTACCAGAGAAGAAGGAAGAGAAGCATAAACACCACTTTTTATCGCGGCAGAAGCACAAACTGAAGGATCAAGATGGCTTTGCTCTCCCATTATCCTCAGCGAGTAGTAATTCTAAACCAACAAACCCTAGCGCTCCCGAGCCGCTGTATTCCTTCGCCCCGTCATCGCCAGGACATTCAAGCTCGTTTGCGAACTCGGTGACGGGCTTGGATCTCAGACACGGTGGCCGGCATTTGCGGCGAGCGAAAAAGGAAGAAAAAGCCGCTGCGTTCCTTGACGCTCAGCTGGAACCTCCGTACCGGGAACGGAACCAGTCGTTTAGTACCGAACGGTCAGAATGGCCGAGTCTTTCTAGCAGTATAACGACGACACCGAATATGGCGACACCCGGTCAAACAATATCTCATACAACAGAGATGCTGCATCTGGGGAGTTCATTTGGCATCAACGGCCTGTCACCCGATGACGCCTGGCCACTGCTAAAAGCAAGGGTATTATTGATATTTGAGGGCGAAGACCCCCGGCCGCCAGTCGAAGACTTCAACGCTTTAGTCACCGTCCACATCAAACGCTGCATCCACAAACGATCCCCCATAATTCTCATTGAGGATTTGAATGAGCTCCTCCAAACGGGTTTCGGCTCTTTAGACCAAACACTACGTCATGTTCCCGACGATCGGCTTATCCCTCATTTGGTAGAAATGTGGCTCGTGGTCTTCACTACCATCCTACCTTTTTTGCAAGCTGTTTTCCTACCGCTAGACTTGGAGTTCCGAGGCTCAGGCATAATGACAAGTGCCCAAGCGGCAGAGTTCTGGGGTGTCATGTTGCCAGACGAGATGAATACCAAGAGTCCTGAACATAGGAATATACCGATTCTCGGGGAGTTGGAAGTGAGGAGAATAACGCTGTTGATGTTTAGGGATATTGTGATACTACCACGTTATGAAGCGCTCATGGCCATCTTCTCAAGACTGAGTTTGGAGAATTTGAATGCAGGGTTGGAGAGCCCGAGTCCGATCCCAGATGGCGTTATGAGTGGACAGCAGCAGCAGCAGCAACAGAGGCCGGGTACAGCTGGAAGTAGCAGCGGCGACATGGCCATGGGCAGTCTCAACTCGACATCGCAGAGCTCAGGGGGTTATTTGGAGAGTACGACGAGTATCACGAGTTCGACATTTGCCGCCAGCACACGCAGCAGAGCGACGAGTAACACGTCCGCTGGTTCCTTTTCCTCCAACCCATCACAACATCCCCCCACCTCGAACCCTTACCAACTCAACCCCCTCCATCCTACCATCTCGCACTTGCACCCCCCACCCACCACCTCCCATTCTTCAAACTACAACAATGCCCCTTCGAGCTTGCGCCAGACCCCCATGGATAGCACAAAAGTGACGGAAACTGTGGGCAGAATGCTGCAGTGCGTTTCTGTCCTCGTCTCGTTGCAGTCGAGCGATGATGCGCAGGACAAGATTAGTAGGTTGAGCAAGGAGCTCAAGTACAATTGGTTGGGTAGGGGTAGGACGGGCAGACAGAGACAAGGTTTTGTGGGGCCGAGGAGTAGAGGGCTTAATCTTGCTGCTGGTGGTGTTTCTGTTCCGGGTGTTGGTGCGTAGGGGAGAGGAGGGCAGGGCAGGGATGAAAAGGGAAGATTAGGAATAGAATAGTAGGCGTTGTTGATGTGGTGGTGGTGGTGGTGATGGCGTGTTTGAGTATATTAGCTGTGGGATGACGGAGCACACTTCTTTTCGCAATATAACTCATCATATGTGTTGTTGCTATCTATGTCTGCATGCGTGTTTATATCTTACTCTATTCTTTGATGTTGTTGGAGCTATTTTGCAAAGCCAACTATCGGTGTAGACTTCGATGGTTGATCCAACCATATATATATATATATATATATGAGGACTTCAACGATGGCGACGATGGTAATGCGGTAGGCGTGGGTGGCTCGTCGTCTATGGGTTCTTGGTGTAGAGACTTGGCGGTAAGTGGGGGAAGTGAAGAGGTGGCATAGGGGTGGGTGGTAAATGAGCAAAGAGTCGTGACGAAAAGGAAGAGGAGGAGGGTTAAGGGGAGGGGAGAGAAGAGGAGGTAGAATTAGAGGTGATGTTGATTAGGGATGTTGTAAGTCTTAGGTGGGTTTCTTTATAGGATAGTTTATCCAAACCTTGCTGTATCTACACTCACTCATATACATAGCCCTTATTTCATTCAGCGTAGCTCAAGCTGTTCTCTGAAGCTAACCAGCGATGCGGACTCCTTCTTGAGTGCCGAGATATCCTTTGCAATCTCATCCCAGAAAGCGCAATTGTCCATCGAGTTCTGCGCGTCCCTGCCCACCTTGAAAAAAGGATGAACATAATTCGGATACAATCCCATTTTCAATGAATTTGTTAGCTCGTTGCCGTCATCAACTGTAGGCTCCCAATCCAGTCTGCGGTGACTGCTGAATAAGTTGGGATCGCCAGCAACCGCGTGTCCCGCAAAGTAAGCTTGGAATTTTGGGGCAAAACCTGGCCAGATATTATCGAAGAGATCGAGAATGAAGTCAGGGATTTTTTCTGATGCGTTCTTGAGCAACTCGCTTACAGCGACGCCGCGGTGCCAAATCAGAGCGAACATATCAAAGCCGTGTTGGGCAGGAGGTAATTCAAATTTCGCCGTGTATACAGTGGAATCATTGTGGAAAGCGTTGTAGATCTGGCGCGTGTTGCAGACAAAGGTCGAGTCGCGCAATACTTTTCTCATGCGCATCTTCTGCTGGGAGTCGAAAAATTTGGCTGGATATTGCTTCTCGATTCGATCCCGAATATTGGCAAGCGCGACGCCGGGAAAGGCATAAGTCAGAAACTCGCTGAACTCTTCTTCTGTATCAACCCATTTCGCAAGGAATAGGCTGACTTCGTCGTGGTCGTGAGACACAATGATCGAACTGCAGCTGGTGTGTTTTCCTAGTCAAGGTTAATGTCCTGGGTAGCAAACATCATCTTCGAGCACCACATACCTTTGCTCAACAGAGCAGCCGGGAGCTCTGGCACAAGGTCTCCATCCACGGCCGGACCAAATGGAAACATGCCCAGTTTCAAAGCCTCGCTAGTGATTTTTTGGTTGGCCTTAGTCAAGTCGTCCGTGCTGGCCTTCCTGAGACAGTCAAGCGCCTTTGAAGAGCACTCGACCTGGTCCGCGAACTTGTGAAAGGTATCTTCCAAGGCTCCAGCACGATCATAGCCCCACTGGAATGCAGGGCTCCACATAACAGCCCGATGAAACAGCGGTGTTTCCCCTTTCCCACTCCCGCCATACGCGGTCAGGTGGTGGAGGATGGATCCTGCGCCGGCAGACAGACCCCATGCGCTTACGGTGTTCTTATCTCCACCCACCTGACCAATGTATCGTTGAACCCAGTCTAAGAGAAGGCGCTGATCGTGCAATCCCGCGTTGGGCTGTGCCTTTTCTTCCATAGTAGAGCCAGCCAAGAAACCAAACGCTCCCATCCTGTAGTTCCCAGTCACCCAGATGACGCTTTGACTAGTCGCATCACGAATACCTTGGCCGTCGTAAGCTTGGAAATGACCATCCGTCGTATTGAAAGCGAGATCCTTCGAGCCGAAGATGTATGCTCCTCCATAGATCCACACAACAACAGGAAGCGGATCCTCATTGACGCCTGCATCTGGCTCTAGTGCCCACGAGGGAACATAGACATCGAGGAAGAGGCAGTCCTCGTCTTGAATGCTACTGTCGTCTGTAGGTTCTACGGTCACATTCTCTTTGGGTATTTTGGCCTGGATACAGCTCGGTCCATAGGTACTGTCTTGAACTTGTCTGGGGTCCTTGATCGCCTCAGGGTATTTTGGTGCTGCGAAGCGCAATTCATCGACAGGAGCTTGGCCGAAGCGGACGTTCTTGAAGATGGTTGTCTATATTATCCAATCAAGAGATCGTTAGTAAAGATTGTTCACTCGCGCTTCAATTGTCGGAGCGGTACTTGTCTTACCTCGCCATCTTCGCCATACGGCTGTCCTTCCCATGTTCCCCATGGAAGGGTTAGCGTGGGAGTAGAGTCCACTGTTAGCCGTGATACCCGTCGGGCATCAGTTGGCAGAGCCAACGCTGCAGCCAGGAGTAAGACCGTAGAGCCAAGCATCTTGACGACCTCGAATATAAGTAATCCTTGGTCGAAGTGTGGGTGAGGTACTGATGTTGGGCTGAGCGGCCGCCCTTTATACATTGTCCAGCTGTATCTGTTACGATGGCCTATCTAGGTAGGCATTGTTTTTTCCTGTGTCCTTTCGTTTTTCTGCGACAACACGTATGCTTGCATGTGAGTATACTTGCTGCTAGAAAGGTGGCTTAGGTATTCCATGGGAGCATGGAGATGGCTGGCCTGTAGTCCGTGTGGAGTTGCTTGGGATCGCCCGCACGTGTACGACCTAGTGGAGCGGTCCGCTGCCAACGCGTTCGCGTCGTTGGACAGCTTGCGTGAATCATAGCCGAAAAAGCATTCTTATGGACAGAGGTCGAGAATGCCCAATGCCTATATTCGTATGTTTGCGTGATTATCATCTCTTTTGCGAACCCATCCATGCTTAGTTTTCCCCGCAACCACATTTCGACCACACAGCTGAAATATGGTTACCATCTCTCTTGCACAACTGGACTGAACTACTCGCAGCGCATACGTACTTGGCACGGATAGACCCATCTGGAGAACCTCATAAGTGCGGGGTTCTGGTCAAAGCCCGATGAGGGGTAGCAGAAACTGAGTGCTTTTTCAGTGAACCAAACTTTGAATGCAGGAAGAAAGCATGCAGATAGAACGATCCGCCGGCATGCTCGTCTTGACCCTTGATATTCTCCACCAATCCTTCCAACTGCGCATTTTCTATCGGCTGTGTCGCTATCATCTTACATTAGTTTGTCAAAGGCGACGCTGACGACGACGGTGCTACTAGCAAATATCTGTCTCTTTAAAATTCAGGAGTATGATTATGCGGCCGACGATTGCAAAGATAGCGAAGGTGATGCCGGCAACGTTGCTGCTCGTGATTGTGCCGTGGCCTCTGACTACTTAGACTAGCGCGGTACCGCCTTCGTAAATCACTTTGATGCCGTTGATACTGCTCGCAAAGTTTTGGTAATTTCCGAGTTCGGACATCGTACGTGAGGTGTCCGAACACGACCCAGGCGCGTCTCGATGACAGCGAAAGCTCCTCGACAAATGATGGCTAATCACATTATGCATCGCGCGACTCCTAAGCCTACTGAACAAAACGCGCAACATGGGTCGTGAATGTGATTGCCTACTTGCGAGATGGAGTATTCCCTTGAAAGCGTTTCTAAGATTTTGTACCTCTATCGAAGAGCCCTAAGTTGGTGGACACAAGCATGATAGTAAGCTCTCTGCTTTGTAAGATGGATGTCATCGACATCATAGGCCATTGGTCATTGGTCATCTACATGTATAATAACATCGATCATGTCGGCTACTTGCCAAAAGTTAATATATCAGATACTACTGTATGTTCTCAAAGTCATAATTACTTAGCTCAGCCTGTCCGACCTTCCATCTTCCACTATGCCCACAGCAGTAATCACAGGCGCAAACTCCGGCATCGGAAATGCCCCTGCCAAAATCCTCATCAGAGAGGTAAGTGATAGTTACCAGAATCTACTCTATCGCAGATACTCTGACATACCAATTCAGGACTACAAAGTAATAGCGGTAGACAAAAATCTCGGCCCGGTCATCAAATCTCTAAACTGCTCTATCCACCAACTCGATATCTCTTCGCCGGACTCCATAACCTCTTTCGCTCAATCCATCACACATGACACACCTATCGATCTCCTCCTTCATGTCGCAGGCGTCATGTCCCCACCCTCCTCAGACAGCCTCACAACAGTTTCTCTCTCCACCCTCCAGAACACCTTCTCCGTAAACACCTTCGGCCCGATCCTACTAACACAAGCCCTGCTTCCCAATCTCCGCAAGTCCTCATCCCCAAAACTTGCCGTGGTATCAAGTCGCGTAGGTAGCATGGCGGATAACAGCTCCGGTGGCCAATACGCATACCGCGCGAGTAAAGCGGCCGCAAATAGCCTTTTCAAGAGCGCGAGTGTGGATCTGAAAGACGAGGGTGTGGCGGTACTTTTGTTGCACCCGGGGATTGTTAAGACAGCGTTGGATGCTAGACACAAGGAGGAAGATGTGCCAGGCGCGGTGGAGCCGGAGGTAGCGGCGGAGGGTTTGTGGGATGTGCTAAGTAAGAAGGGGATGGAAAGCACAGGGATGTTCTTCCATCGAAGTGGAGAGGAGCTGTCATGGTAGTTGGCGGCGTTTAAATTGAATGGGTGTAATCTATATGTGTATTCGAATAGTTGGGATGTTGATCTATCAAGAGCACTGAAAGTATATACGACTGAATTCGATGACCACTGGTCTCAGAAAACCGACCTAATGCGCGAACCGGAAATCTAATCGTTTGTTCCCTTCTTCCTTCGTGGTCTCCAGATACGTCTCCTTCTCTTCCTTTGTCATGCTTTGCCAAATCCTATCTCTCTTTTTATTCACAGCAACGTAGTAGAACTTCGCTCCGATGAAAAGCAGAAAGTTGTACGCGCAGATTGCAATCAACACCTTATTTCCCCTCCGGTAAAGCGGTTTGTCGTCGTCTCTGTAGATGTTTTGGCTGATGATGCTACTCGCCTGCACTGTCATGTTGTACATCGCACTGGCCACGGTACGGGTCCGGACTGCGCCAGCGTTACGTGAAGTAATTGCAACGAGGATAGCGTGAACATATGGGTGACCGACGAGGAGTGTTGAAAGTACCCAGCGTGACCATGGAGATACGTCTGCGGGGAGCACTTCGAGGGCGATGAGGAGTGGAAGAGCCCAGACTTGGGAAATGAGACCGACAAGAAAGCGTTGGTTGAAGCGCTCGGATATGTACGTCCATGACAAGAGCTGTAAGATGAACAGTACGTATGCCGGGATCTATGAACGTCAGTTCCGTCAGACACCTTCCCAGTCTTGGTACTTACGGTAAGTAGATTGGTTTCGAATGTACCGAAACCGAGCGATCGAAGTTGAAGCGTGAGATACGCCGTCGACGGTGTAGATGGTATAGTCCAGGATAAACCGATCAAGTAAATTGGCCACATGTGGTAGTCCTTGATGCATTCCCACAGCATGCGGAAGCTCAGGCCCTGTCTGTTGTGCATATCGCCCTTGCTGGGATCATCCCTTAGGATGCGGTTCACCATGATTTTCTCTTCCCTCTCGTTGAACCATCCATCCTTTCCACGGAAAGGGTTCCAGGTTTTGCTTGCAGTCTGAGTCGGACTTGGCGGCAAATAGAACCATGATGCGATACCGATCAAGCCTGTCAACATACCCTCGAGAGCGAACAACCAGCGCCATCCTTCCATGCCGTTGTGCCCACGCAGACGCAGAATACCGAAAGCCAGGAAGGCAGAGACGATCGAAGTGGACTGGTAGCTCACCCAAAACCAGCTCAGCCGCCCAGGTAGTTCCCACCCAGTGTAGAAGTAGCTAAGGTAAAGGATGTTGTCGGGAATGAACCCACCCTCTATCAGACCAAGAAGCGCGCGACAGGCGAAGAATGAGCTACGACCGCTGAGAAAGGCCTGCAAGCTAGCCACGAGACTCCAGCTTACCATCTGGATAGGGATCCAGTTGTCAGGTCCAAGTTTCTTGCTGATGAGCTGAGACGGAAGCTCCGCACACAAGAAGCAGAGGTAGAAGATAGTCTGGCCATAGTTGTAATCGTTGGTGTTTATGTTGAGGTCATCGAGCATGTTGTCACTGAGTGCTTGGGAGATGTTGCCTCGATCGAGTTGCAATGCGAAGAACATTAGGCAAGCCCAGGTGCAGATGCGCTTGTCGATCTGTAATAGTTCAGCAAGAGTATCATAATCTTTCTGATACGGTGCCGTGTACCTTTCGCAGCAAACGCTTCTCCTCTTTCTTCTCCCACACAAAGTCTGGGTCATACCGATGGATACCTTCATAAGACTGTACAGGTCTGTAGTGGTCTTTCCCAAGTCCTGCCGAGACAAAAGTCGTGCCATCTTTTCCTTTCGTACCGGATCCGTCGACTGAAGTGTCGCTGCTGTTGGCGCTCCCAGTCGTGTCGTACAGCGCTTTACCGTCGACAGGATATTCGTCAGCGCTATTGCCCATATTCGGAGATGAATCTTTCCGAGAGATTCGCTAAAGTGTCAAGCTCTTGGACATCTTGGGATTGTCTTGGAGGACATCTCTCCATTATATCAGTGAACGCTCCCTCGCCTGTCGACTCGTGCGATGGCCAGCCCATGTACAAAGCTTCTGGACTTGCGCCTTCTCGGAGGAAAAGTGTTGCAATTTTGCTAGCGCTACAACGCATGATGACCGTATATCCACCAACTATCAATCCACCTTCGCCATCACTGCACTCCCCAATCGCATTCGGATTTCTTTGCTATCCGCGGAAGTATCAGCGACAAGGGCCTTCCCGTGGCCCGCAAGCACGCAAACTGTGGATGTTATGTTGCAGCAGAGCATAACTTTTGTCTCCAGTAAATCCGAGGTTGATTCGTTGTCGTCTTCTTCCATGGGGGATTGCGTGATTGGCTGGGGTGTTGGCGACATGGATAAGGAACACCATATCCACCATTACCCCAGCGGGCCGTGCGGAGATTATTCTGACGCCAGAAAAGCCGTATATTCGACATCGCGTGGGATGGTTCGGCTGTATGAAGCCTTTCGCAAGTCGACAGTCTTTCCTATTCGTGGACAGTGTGGGGCGGGAAGTATGTATGAAGCAATACAGTGCATGCTTGATGCAATCTGATCGCTTCCTGATTGATCAGGCATATCGCGGCAGTCGTTCTTCCTGGATCGCCAAGGTGTATCGCTTGACTGCGACACCCGATAACAGTGGCAACTCGCCACTAAGTTTGTGAGAGCGGGGTTGCGCATATCCGATGTCAGGGCCTGACGTCGAAGAACTGCTACTCGCGGTAACAATGCGACGTCGGGTAGACGTCGGGCATATAAGGCTGCGCAATGTATGATACACTATCCTTTCAAATTGACGCTCCCACAAACATCAACTGAGTAGACAGGTCTAGTAGCAACATGGCTCCAGCTCTCATCGAAGAAGTCACCGAACAGACTACTGTAGGCTACAAGTCTGGAGTTGGTCAGTACAAAGAAGCTGCCTTTGGTGGCCCAAAAGTATTCCGGAAAGAGCTCGAGCTGCGCGGCACAGACAAGCACGCGCCTGCTAAATACCCACACTACCTCCCGACTTGGGACAACGAGAAGGGACAGAAGTGAGTATCGCCATGCTCTTAGTGAGACTAGAATCTGATGTGAGATTCAGATATCCACCATGGGAGCCGTTTGAGCACACTGAGCACGGAAAAGATGCCGATCCTTCTTTCCCTAACCTCTTAAAGGACGCTACAGTTGCCGACATTACCGCAAATATCGGCGCTGAAGTCCATGGCGTCCAGCTGAGCGAGCTGACCGATGCTGGAAAGGACGAACTCGCACTCTTTGTCGCCCAGAAGAAAGTTGTAGCGTTCCGCGACCAAGACTTTGCAGACATCCCAATCAAAGACGCGCTTGCTTTTGGTGGTTACTTCGGTCGGCACCACATCCATCCTACATCCGGGGCTCCTGAAGGCTATCCTGAGGTTCACCTTGTTCACCGAGGTACAGATGACACCACTGCGCGAGATTTCTTTGAAGAGCGAACGAACTCCATTACTTGGCATTCTGACGTGACGTATGAGAAACAGCCACCCGGAACGACTTTCTTGTATCTTCTTGATGGACCAGCTGCGGGAGGCGACACTTTGTTCGCGAACCAGGCGGCAGCGTACAACAGACTCTCACCAGAGTTCAGAAAGCGACTACATGGCTTGAAAGTCGTCCACTCAGGTAAGCTCTCATCAAAGACAGCTGCGAAAAGGTACTCACATCGTCTTAGCTGTCGAGCAAGCCGACAACAGCAAGAACAGAGGTGGCATTGTCCGTCGCGACCCAGTGACTTCAATTCATCCGCTTGTACGAACGCATCCCGCTACTGGCGAGAAAGCGCTCTTCGTGAATCCCCAATTTAGCCGACGCATCGTAGGCTTCAAGAAAGAGGAGTCAGACTTCCTACTCAACTTCCTGTACGATCATATCGCGAAGGGTCAAGACTTCCAAGCACGCATTAAATGGGCGCCGGGTACTGTTGTGGTATGGGATAATCGCGTTACGGCGCACAGTGCGTTGCTCGATTGGGATGACGGCGCGCGCAGGCATTTGGCGAGGATTACGCCGCAGGCCGAGGCTCCTTATGAGACGGGATTAGAAGAGCGCAAGGCTGCTGGCTTTGAGTATTAGTAGAGTTAGTGTGCGATAATGTATTGAGTCCTTGTTGACCCTCGAAGCTTTGGTATATCCTGTGGTGATCATGTGCCAGTTGCTGTGTCCTGGAGGTACACGCGTCGTCCCCAAGCACTACCAGAACACCATGGCCATATCGTCTTCAGTCAGGCCATGATAAACAGGATAGCAGGAGGCCCGCCAACGACATTGGGCCTTTACTCATGATGTCGTAGTGAATCGGGAAAATGGCGAGGTTGGGGAAGGAAAGGAGAATCGCGCGAGTTCATTGCGTCATAGTCTCCGCAGGGAGAAGCCTGCGAACACGGACACTTCAAACACAATCGTTAGGAACAACAGGAAGAGAAAACTGGACGGACCGCAATGTTCGATTTGAAACAATCCTAGGAGATGTCGATGTAAAAGATTTTTGTATTTGATAAAGATGTCAGTTCAGCCAAAGCCGATGACTCACGCACTCTGTAGCTCCCGCGCACACATAGAGCACCGTCCTTGATGTCGTTGTCAACGCCTATATGACATGCTAGAGGTCTCCTTTAGCCGCTTCAAGTTCCATATTTCTCATCAGCATCCCTTTCTTAGAAATGAATCCGACGTCCGCTCTGACCACCGTCACGTCTCCAGAAAATTCGTGCTCCTCTTTAGCCTTGCTCTCATGGTCGAGTGCCTCAGCCATAAGACTACTGTTCCCATCAAAATCCTTTTTAAGCTTACTTTCACACCTAGCACAGAGCTTCAGGCCACACCCGTCAAGTTCCATCTCGTCATCCTCAGATGCGAAAAGTGAAGCTTGCCGCGCACAGCAGGTGAACGCTGCTGGGGAGAAACACATAGAGCACCAGCGTTGGAGTTGCTGTTGGGCCTCTTCCGAGGTTTCAGCGGCCTCTAGGAGATCGGCACATGTTTCTTCGAAACTTGAGACCGTATCATCGGGGAAGATGCGCTGCATGTCGTGTTCATCGCAAGTCATGATCTGCGCCCTACCTGAAAGGACTGTTAGCAAACTCGATTTTGGTAATGTCCAAGCCTTCAAAAAGCCCTTGCCATGTCCAACTTACCAATCGCGCAAATTTGGCACATAGTCGTCACCCCCTCCTTGTCCTGCGCATGGCCTCCACCGACTTCCGTGTACCCATGTCCGCCGTACCAACGGATTACATGAACCTCCTTCTCGAAATGGCCAACGAATCCGAATATCGGTAGCTCACAGAAGTTGCAGTCAGAAGTGTTTTCGATGGTACCGAACTGGATAGGATGCGCGAAGCTGGTCATGATCTTTGTCAGCGTACCCTTGTGGCCCGCTTCATCCTCCATCTCAATCTCGGGGGTTGGTGAGCGTGACTCCATGTGCACGTCTTCGTTATACAAATCTTCTAGGTCTTCCTTGGTAAAGTAGTCATGATCTGGAATTGCGACTTCAGGTGCGTCTCCTTCTGTGGGCCCCTTGGCCTTGGCTTTCTTCTCTTTCACTACTTTCGGGATCTCGTAGAAGGTGCAGCCGGTGTTGTGCTTCTTGCAGTATCTGCATGGTGGTTTATCGATTTTCTTCTTTAGGCTGCAGCGCTTCTTCTCACGGCGACAGTTGGTGCACTGTATGTATGGTCGGTCCTCAGTATAGATCACATCGTCGATGACGATCCTCTCGGCGCGGTAGCCAACTGGCGGAAGCGCTTCGCAAATGTGCTCGTTCTCAGCGCAATGATCGCAAATCGCTTGGCCAGGCTCATCTTCAAAAGAACAATAGTCGATACTGTCATCAACACATTACTTGCAGCGCCCTTTCTCGGTAGGTGTGATGATGGGGTCGCAGTCCTTGTTTAGATCGCAGCAGTACTGACATGGATATGTACCACCTGTTACCATAGAGCACGCAACCCCATGTACGCGACAGGAAATGCAGCCTCGCGCTGCTGGATGGCCTGTCAAGTCTTCAACCTCCGAGCGAGGATCTTGAATAGGAAGCTGCATGCGGCGATCGGGGGTGTTGTGACGGAAGAATGCGCGATACTCTTGAAGTTCACGTTCAACGTCAGAATCAATATCTGACCAGTCTTCTGGCCAATTGTCCTGGTCGTCTGTGATGTTCTTCACATTGCCAAAATTCGCAATGCGAAGCTTGATGATGCACTTTAAAACCGGCTCTTTAGATACACGATTCTGGTCTCTTTTCAGACGCCGGGCGGCTTTGGCAGCTTTCGTTGCCTTTGCCATCTTGAGTCTCTGTGCTTTGTTCTTGGTTTCGTTCACGGGATCAAAATTGCCGGACTCGTCTTGGTCGACATATGTATACGCAGCTCTTCGTTCGATACCTTGACGCAATTCATAGGCTGGCTAGTAAAGTTAATATGAAACTGCTATGAGGGTCGTGAACTGATCGCACATACCTGGGTATCGGGGGGGATAACGATCTCGCCATCAGATAGCCCTGGAGACACTCTGGGAGACATGCTGTCTCTGTCAGATTCCGCGAATCCAAAGCCAAGATTGAGTGGTTGCTCAGAGGAATGGACTTCAATCCCTTGCGCTTCGAGATCTAGACCAGACAGGCGGTTGCCGATATTTTCTCTGAGAACCTCAGTTTCGGGGAGGTTGTCAACTTGGTCTACTAGGCCTTCTTCAAGCATTCCTTCGAAAAGGTCGTCGAACTGGGTTTCTTCGACCCTATCCGTTGGCTCCCCAAAAAGAGACTGACGTGGTCTCTTACTTCTAGGGCTTGCCTCATCGTCACCATCATCCGTTCTTGGAGACTTCTTGTTTGTAGGCGGAGACTTCCGGGCCTGGTGACCAGACCAGGAGCGGTCGAATGCTTGGGGGGCATCGTCGTCATCGGAGAAGCCTTGCTCGAGCATGTTGTAATTCATTTTCTGATAACTCGGGTCCTGGTCATGCTTACCGGAGGCCTGGTTAGCGTCTTTGCTGTGGCGATGGCCCTCAATGCTTTCGTGGATGTCGGTATCGAACTCATGTTGCGCAGTGCTGTGGATGTCTTTTGTTGGGTCGTCATCTCCTTGGTAATCATGAGCATTCTGATGGTTCTCGGCTCCATTCTCATCGGCATCGATGCCATGAGGAAGATTGAAGTCAAATTCAACTTCAGGCCTGGGCGGCATACTCTTGTCCTCCATACCGAGCTCGCGTCTTCTGAAGGGTGCGGTGAGGTTATCCAATGCTCCCGAAGCGAATGGGAAGGATATAGAGCAGGAAAAGGCAGAAAGCAGGAAACGGGAAGTAGTGATGGTATTGGATGGGCAGCGCAACGTCGATCCACTAAACAGACTAGTGTCGGGGTGAGAGCTTAGGAAGTCGTGGTGCGAAGGGTGTCATAGGCTGAGGTGAGAGAACCACGAGAACTCAGCGGTCTGTGTTGAAAGTGCGACTATAGCACGCAACGAGAGTCTACTGTGCGAGCAGATTGAATGTCACCTACCGTGCGTACTAAAAAGAAGTGTTCAGGAACGTTCGAAGGCCAGAGTGTCCGAGGATGTCTCCGGTGACTTCAGTCGGTCGCAGATAAATGACAAAGCCATATAGAAGACCCGACTGTCCAAGAATAATGTGCGAAAAACGAAGATGTCCTGGTGTACGTAAGAGTATGTTATCAAGGTATTTGACGGATGAGATTGGGAGCTTCGTCAACTTTGAGAACGAAAGAGCGGTCAATAGACGGCCGTGAAGATGAACATCCCATAGAAAGATTTGGAGAGGACGGTGGAGCAAGTCGAGAGCAAAGACACAGCTCTTGAGGTCGCAACTTGTAAAGGTGTGCAATGTATCGCAGATTTGCTGGACCAAAGGGTTTTCCAAAGCCCCAAGGCCGTATGAACAACCTATGATGATAGAACATCTCCTGAAGCATGGACCAGCCTCATGCTACTTCTTCGTGGCATCTGTATAGAATCGATTCATTTTCTCCTTGAAAAAATCCTGGATTCTGGTCTTCGAATTATAACTATTAGAGTTGACAACGAGGATACTCGATGCATATGGTCCGTTGACTGCGCCGGCATAACTGTGGTGGACGGGATTACCGGGGACAAAGCTAAACCCAGTCTGAGGCGATATCGCTTCCTGTGACGGTCAGTCAATTCTATACTGAACATGTTGTACATTAACAGATGTTTGCCAAGCACGTCGTTGTAGTTTTCTGGACATGTTAAGAGAGAGGTGAGCGCAGATGTGCTCGGGGAGGAAGCTTAGTCATCACAGCGCTAACACAGACCCTCACAACGAAAATGAGCCGCGCTCTTTCTTAGAGCTCTGCCTTTCCCTGCACAGCTTATCCATCTATGAAGCTCGACGGCGCTTCACAACGCCCTTTGTGGGCACCATGGCGCGATCGATGAGGCTGTTTCTGATCCGCCATGGGGAAACAGTCGACAATGTCGCGCAACTCTAGTAAGTACTTCACCAGCTCGAACCCTTATCTTTGCTAACAGTTTCAGTGCCGGTAGTAGAGATTCAGCGCTCACCAACCACGGCTACCAACAGGCCACCCGCCTGGGTCTGCACTTCAAGTCTCTTGATTTGACATTCACCCACATCTTCTCGTCGCACCTCCAGCGGGCTGTGAAAACGGCTGGAAGAATCCGAGATGCTCAGTTGGCGTCGGACAATGACGACACTGCGAAAGCAGTTCCCGATGTCAAGCAGCTACCGGTGCTGATGGAGAAGGACTTCGGTTCGATGGAAGGGAAGAAATTCCACGATCGACCGGAGAACAAGGATACGACGAGCTTCGCGGATGCCGAGTCGAAAGACAGCATGGCGCGTCGAGCTGACTCATTCCTTAATGAGCATCTCTTACCGCTCCTCGACGAAGCGTCGAAAGACGCCGACCTCGTGGTTGCGATAGTCTCGCACGGGATCTTCCTCTCTACCCTTTGGAAGCGCCTGCTGTTGCATCTACCACACAAAAGCGTTGCGCTCTCTCCGGGGCTCCAAGCAACAGCGCGACCATCGCTCGAGCATCTGGGTGGCTGGTCCAACACTGGCTATCTAGAGTTGCGCATGACGAGGATAGACCGTGGTAATTCCATTGTCACTGCGCAGGTACCTGCGGTACCTACGCTAGAACGTTGTTCATCGCTCGTAGAGATGCCAGTTACCAATGAAGGTCTGAATGAGACCGAGGCATCAGATCCCGCGACTGAACATGGTTCTGCACGCCAGCAGGTTTCCCAAGTGCCTATTCGGGCAGCTGTCGCAGCCTCGCCAGCCATCAGACCGCGCATTGCAAGAGGATGGTCCTCTACCATTCTCGCGATCAATGGTAAAGACCATCTCCGCGGCATTAAACGCACTCGCGGCGGTATCGGAAGTTCTCGTCACGATGCATCGCAGAGCAGCATCAAGATCTTCTTCAAACGTTGCAAAACTGTTTAAATTCATCGATGGTAAGTCCACAAATCTTCTTTCCTTCCATATGCAATGATGAAAAAACCTTTTAATCACAGACCTGATCGGAATTTAATGTCGACCAAAAATTGTACCAACTGCTGTCTGATTCGCATCCAACTCATTTTGTTCTTTTACTGCTTTTGTTTGAGAACTTCGCTAACAAATGAGGCCGTAGATTATGTGTGGTGTGTTTATCCAGAATCATGCATCTCATGCTCTAATTGGAAATCAATACAAATCCTTCTTTTGCACATAGTCCTTCATCTTGACCCCATTTCACTGCATGAATCCTTGTACCGTGACTCCATCACACAGCATCTCCAAGTTACACTGAATTTGACGTCTAGACCGTGCTGGCTCTTGAAGCCAAGACAAGGCGGTCCACGCTCTGTCGCTTTCCGTACTCTGCGCTGGCGGTGGAATAACCATGACTCGGCTCTCCATATGCTGCTAGTCAGTGCCACGGTGATTCGCAGATTCTACCCATGGGTAGATACAACGCGTCGCGCGGGTATCACAAAGCCTTGTCGCGTTGGCTACCAAGTTTTGACGTGGTGAAGGTCCGTGCAGCGCCCGCCTTCCTTGCCCAACTTCATTGTCGCATCACTCACCGCAATATCGCAGCATCTCGACCGCTGTCGCATGCTCGCAAAAGCGATATTCCGGAAAGTTTCATATGGCTGCCGATGGCACGGTGCATAGGTTGTGCGTGTGCACTGCGCTACACCGAACGTTGTTGTGCGGCAAGCATGCTTTTTCATAGGATTGGCCGCTGGTGGCTGGCGACCTGCCACCCCGGTTTCCGGGAAGGGTCGATATCAGCCCCCCAGTATTAATACATATGAAAGCAGGGCTGGTAGGATTATTTCTGTCGTCAACGCTTTGTGTTTTGTTCAATCGTTCAGTCTGCAGTCTTTTTGTTCCGGTCGCTGTCGGATCTTCTTGAGATCTTTGTGTCGGGCCAATTGCAGCACGTCGTTCTTTGCGCGATCACAGTTCACATTCGTTCACCATGAGAAGCTCGATAGTAATTCAGCTGAGTACGCTGTCGGTGGGTGTACTCGGCGGTGTAGTGCCAGGACCGTATTATGTCAATAGTAGTGAGTAGATGGTATGGTGGCTTGGAAGATTGCGATATACTGACCTTGATAGCTACCACTATCGGAACACCACGGCCACACGTACATGCTCCTGGACTACCAACACCACCGACTACCTTGTCGGCATCGATATCAGATCTCAGCACAGCCATCGTCGCTCCCTACCCGACCTCATCGTCAAATACATCTGTTGTCGATGCTTCGCCCTCTTCATCAACTGCATACGCAGTCTCCAGCTCCTCGCCAGAAGTATCAACAGTGACGCTGTCAGTATCAAGTTCGCTCAATGTTACCACACAAAATGCCACACTCATCTACTCGCCACTTGTAAGCTCAGCAACCGTCACCTCATCTTCGTCAATCCCCACTTCAGAGTATCCTCCCGTGGTAGTGATAGTCGTCGCCGAAACGGTGTATGCCACAGCACAACAACCAAATTCGACTTTTGCTTACAATGCGACGCTTCCGACGGCAACGACTTCGGATTGCTTAACTACTCTTCCAGCATCCGCAAATCAGAGCTCTCCCAGTGTTGTGCCTTCGTCTGCTACCGTCAGCAGCATTCTTCCTGGCCTAGCTCTGGCTGCTGAAATCGGCATAGGTGAGGAGCTGGCTAGCTCCAGCATCGATCTTGGGCTTCTGTCGTCTATCCTCCTCCCAGATAGCTCAACCATAAATCTCGGACTTCTGTCATCCATCCTCCTATCCGAGGTCACTCAGCGATCAGTTGGGACGACCTATACGACCACTACGACGACCGTTATCTTTACTCCAACCCCCCTAGTTCCTTCTCCGTCAAGCACCAACCCAAGTATATCGGGGACGACAACAACGACCGTGGTTGCGCCCACCACTGCATCCCCATCCGCGTCGATAGCTTCACCGACTTCGACGTCAACAAGCGACTCGGTTGTGCCGTCATCATCTGCAGTAGAGTCGAGGTCAACCTCGCCATCAGAATCGCCATCCACCATCCTCTCGACAGTCACAGTCACGGCTCCAACACCATCATCTCCATCTAGCACCGAATCCAACGCGGAATTTCCCACAGCACCACCATTCTCATACAACCCCTCCGCCTCCCGTGGCTCTGCACCTCCCATCTCACGCCCTACATCCGAGCCCTCCAGCGCGAACGTCGCTGGTTCGACGCTCAGCACTGCCGCCACACCTACCTCAACGAGAATCTCACAGTATGGCACCGGTGTTCCGCCTGCGCCCAGTGCGGCAGGCGCATCGGGTGTTTTGAGTGAGAGGAACAAAGAGAGGGTTTGGTGGGTGGCTTTCTTCGGTGTGGCGAGCGTATTCCTTTATTAGCGACATGGCCTTCTTTTTCTAATTTCCCTCATTACCGCTATGAGCGAGATGTTTTACGCGAGAGAGAACGATGACTTTACGATTCTTATGTTATTATTACGATTATTACTTTAATGTTTTTATGGTTAATTGGTTATCAAGGGAAGCAAGAGGAGGATATACCAGGTACGCGATCGACACGGCGTTCGAAGGAGAGTTGGAGCTTTTGGGTGTGGTTTTCGGTTAAGGGATGCATTGAGATCGTTCTGACATAGAATTCTACAAACGAGAGCGATAAAGATATCAAAGTGGGATTAGTGAGAAGGTGCTCGACCGCGGTCGACGTCGAGATGTTCGAATATTATATAATGTACAATGAATGTTGTAACTCAAGTAAAGCTTCCTTCAATTGACAAAACCTGCGACGTCATTGAGCAAACTTTCAGCGCAACCATGCAGCGAAGCTTGCGGATCTGATCCCTAGTTTCCGAAGGAACACAAACGGTACATCAGGCTATCTCAGAAAGGTTCAATGATTGAGATGATCCGGGGTTGAAGTGCGGAGAGGTTTGTTCGTTGAAGATCAGAAGCGGGGGAGAGGCCGCCTTGGCTAGCGCAAGCCACCATTTCTTCCGTCAATCAAACCTCAGACTCGACACACTTTACACGGTCGTCATTACTTCGATCGAACGCGTCAAGTCACAAAATCACGCGTTTTTGAGATGGATATGGATACAGCAAGCCTTCCGATCTGCACCAGGGGTGTTCTCAAAGACCCAACACGCGCTGCACACAGCCCAACGCCCTCGGCGTCACCTCGCTTATAAGCATTGCATCGATCGTCGCCCATTGAACCGGTACCTCAATATACAGCGAGCGCCTCGGGAGACAATTGTCCGCGGTACATCATGGGTTCTGCGGGTGCATATTCCAACGGTCCGTAGACCCTGGATTAAATCTATAAGACCTAAGATACATTGTCTAGAACCCAGTATCCGGGCGAGACTGCACCTACATCTCACACCAATATGCGGCAGTCCTTCTTCGGTTCAGCCTCCCTACTTGTTGGATGCGCTCTTCTACTTCCCAGTAGCGCACTCGATCTGGTCCGCAGACAGGCAGCAGCAAATGCAACCTACAAGGATGCATCGGCTCCCGTAGAGGACCGAGTGGCAGACCTTCTTTCTCGTATGACAATTGAGGAAAAGACTGCTCAGCTCATCCAAGGAGATATCTCGAATTGGATCAATGTCACTACCAATGTCGTCAATGAGACCGGTCTCGAATGGAACTTTCGTGTCCGCGCGGGTCAGTTCTACGTTGGCTATCCGATACCTGCGGAGTGGATCAGCAATGGCGTCAAGATTGGCCAGGACTACCTTTTACATAACACGACATTGGGTATCCCGGCCATGGTTCAGACCGAGGCTATTCACGGCTTACTCGTGGGTAACGCGACCATCTACAACAGTCCGATCGGGCAGGCTTGCTCGTGGGATCCGCAGCTGATTCACGATATGGCCGTGGCTATTGCGAAGGAATCGGCACCTCTTGGTATCAATCAATTATTCGCACCACTTGCGGACTTGGCGCGCGAGCTGCGTTTTGGCAGAGTAGAAGAGACGTACGGCGAGGACGGTTTCTTAGCCGGCGAGATGGCATACGAGTATGTTATGGGAGTGCAGAGTTTGAATGTCAGCGCTACAGTCAAGCACTTCGCCGGTTTCAGTAACCCAGAGCAAGGTCTTAATACTGGGCCAGTTCATGGGGGTGAACGGGAGCTCCGAACCACATGGCTGCCATCGTTCCACCGTGCTATAATCGACGCCGACGCCTGGAACATCATGGGTGCCTACCACTCTTACGACGGGATACCTTCGATCGCCGATGGCCATATGCAAGAGACGATCCTCCGTGAAGAGTGGGGCTACAAGTACTGGTTGACTTCAGACGCGGGAGCCACGGACCGACTCTGCTGCAACTTCAAGCTGTGTCAATGCAAGACCGAAGATACACCAATCGACAGCGAAGCGGTGACACTCATGGCCCTACCGAATGGTAACGATGTGGAGATGGGTGGAGGCTCGTACAACTATGCGAACATCCCTCGTTTGGTCGAAGAAGGCAAGCTTGACATTGAGATTGTCGACAGAGCCGTGAGCCGCCAGCTTCGAGCGAAGTTTACAATGGGTCTTTTCGAAAACCCATACCAAGGATTATCCACAAACGAGACGGAGTCCATCATCCACCCTGAGGAACATGTCCAGCTTGCGAGGACGCTCGAGGCTGACTCAATCGTCTTGCTTGAGAACAAGAACAGCACTCTGCCTCTCTCCAAGTCTGCCAACATCGCCGTCATCGGCCCCATGGCGAACATTACGAATCTGGGCGATTACGTGGTCTACCGCTCTCAGTACAACCCCACGAACGTTACTCCATTGCAAGGTATTCAGAGTGCATCTAGCGGTACAGTAACATACGCCCTAGGTTGTGAGCGCTGGTCGAACGACCAATCCGGCTTCCCCGATGCGGTTGCAGCGGCTGAAGCTGCTGACGTCGCAGTAGTCGTCGTCGGTACCTGGTCACGCGATCAACAGGAGCTCTGGCAAGGTCTGAACGCCACTACTGGTGAGCACGTAGATGTCGCATCGCTCAACCTCGTCGGCGCTATGGGCGAGCTCGTCCAAGCCATCATCGAGACTGGTAAACCAACCATTGTGGTCTACTCCTCCGGAAAGCCCGTCACAGAGCCTTGGATCTCTGACAATGCAGCCGCTCTCCTTCAGCAGTTCTATCCCGGAGAACAGGGTGGCAACGGATTGGCTGACGTCCTCTTCGGCGATGTCACGCCCTCTGGCAAGCTTTCTGTTTCCTTCCCTTACGATGTGGGTACCCTCCCAATCTACTACGATTACTTGAACTCCGGCCGACCTACCGATGCTGGTGCTATCTTGCCAAACGGTACACTCCAATTCGGTCACCAATACGTTCTCAATAACCCTCAGCCACTCTATGAGTTCGGCTATGGCCTCTCCTACGCAAACTTCACTTACTCCAACGTCACTCTCTCAAAGACCGAAGTCAGCGCAACTGATAAGATCACGGCAACCGTAAGTGTGACCAACGAATCAGATGTCGACGGCAAGGAAGTAGTTCAGGTATATGTGCAGGATGTCTTTGCTAGCGTTGTGGTGCCAAACAAAGAGCTCAAGGGCTTCAAGAAGGTTATGATTAAGGCTGGTGAGACGGTAGATGTCAGTGTGGAGTTGGATGTGAGCAAGTGGGGGCTGTGGGATAGGAAGATGCAGTATGTGGTTGAAAAGGGAGATTTTATCGTGCATGTAGGAGCAAGTTCCTTGGATCTGAGGGGAAACGGGACGGTGACTGTGGCTTGAAATTTCGCTAGTCGTCGTAGCTGGGGTCGGGAAACGACAGGTCGAATTCATGCAGCGTTGGCGCGATTGGGCGTGTCACTGTGTAACGGGGAGACACGCTAAAAAAGGTCCGTGCCGCAGCAAACGGGCAGTACTCAAGCATCTCCCCCCCTCATCTTGATTTTCTCCTACTCATTCACCGTGTTGTCTTCCGTCTCACCTTTTCTACTTTCAGTCGTCTTTTTTGATTGCTAAACCGACTTGTGCATCCTGCGCTACACTTTATCCTTACAACAGACTATGTCTTCCAGCGTCACACAAGACTCATTCGGAGTGGACGGAGATGTCTGCGACTCCAATTCTCCCTCTGACCCCGGCGATTCACATGTTGATCTGGCTACTGATCTTGTCGGCATCAGTCGTACTACGAAAGATCTCAATATCGTGAATCGATATAGACCGAAGTGGGTCTCACAGGAGTAAGTCAAGTCATTTCACTGACACGATATCTAAAGAATTACTTACTGAAACGGGGGCTCTTACAGAGTCTGGTTCATATAGAGCCACATGGTGTGTTTTTCCCCAAACGTTCACTTGCCTCGGTGTCGACCGCAATGACGACTCGACGGAAGATGACCACTCCCTCTATAGAGATCCCAGTAAAGGTCCGCCGCCATCGGTTCCAGTGGCTCGACTCTCTCCGTCAGCGCTGCTGAGATCAAAGCCCCAACCGGCGCGCAGCAAGTCGATACAGACGGATTTGTCGACACAGTCTAAGAAAGATTCTTATGGTAAGTACATCTTAGAATGGGAAAAACTTTCTCTTGAAACTAATTTCCTGCAAGTTATCGGCACCAAGATTGAGCACACGTCGCTCGACTGGGGTGGTGGTTTTCCTGGAAGCCATGACTTTTACCGCACTCGCGACCAACTAGATTAGGAGATATTCATCCTGAAGCCGAACGTCAGCGCTGGAAAATCACGCAACAAGAGAAAGTATTCCGGTGCTGAAGACCGTGTTATGGCGAGGAAATCCTGCTAGGGCTCGTCAGGTTAAGGTGACGTGCTTACACGATCAGAGTCTAAGGCTCCTTACTGTAGGGCCCTTGAACTACGCGATCAGCTCTAGTCTGCTGGCACTGCGTCGATTCTGCACTCGCCTATGCGTCTAGTGCGTCAACAAGCTTCTCTTCGATGCTCTAGCGGATGTATCGGAGGGCCCTGTTCTCGCTATGGGTGGCTTGCATGTCTCCGATACGTTGGAGCCCCCCTGTTACGGGCTTGAGTACCCACAGCTCCTGGGGCTCTACGAGTAGTTCGTGTAAATCACTGGCTATATGTCCAGCGGCTGGGAGTGTACCTTGCATGTAGGCCAAAGCCTCCCGCAGTTCGCGTGAGGTTGATAGTGTTGATGGCACCATATGGACGTCGACAACATATAGCGCTAGCATACCTAGGTAGCCCTTGTTGTTACCCCAAGTCTACAAGCTACTCGAACCGTTTCTCAGTGATATCAGAATAGTATGACCGTGATCTTGGGTCTTTGATAGAAAGCACTAGCTTGTACAGCGTCTTTTGCGCTCAATGCAGCGTCGCAAACATACTACATTCGCACTTCGAGTTCACTCGTGTAGGTTGCTACAACATTGACTTCTCAATCGCCATGTCCGCAACTATTGCACATTGTTGCATAACTTGATGTGATGTCAATCCACTCTCAAGTTCACGCATCGCGCCGCATGGCCGGATCAGGTTAGCTGACCACAGCCGGTAGCTCGCTTAGAAGCGGCGACAGTTGAGGCGGTCGCGATAGTCGGAACCGTCGGTGACGAGTGCGCGACGCTTCAGACGTCGATATCAGCAGATAGGCAGTCGATAAACCACTTGTCATGTCCAATTGGAGCCATGGCAGCCGGCGGAGAAGGTATCGGAAAGGTGAGCGAGCTTGCCCGTCGCAAAGTCTTGCTCGATAAGGAAACAACCTCCACGAATGCCCCGCGCCTAGTCTACAGCGACCACAACGAAGTGGCCGAGAACGGCCCACTATTTCCATTAGCCATTTAGCGATGCAAGTGATAGATGTAGTCAACGTGATGGTATAAATACGCAGTGGGATGGTCATAACCATTTATCGCTGCATCAAAACTCTCTCAACTTCATGCTCTGCGACGATAAACCCGTTATCCTGAACAACATGGCAGCGAGCAAACCTTCATACCTCGTCGTTGGCGCCGGCGTCTTCGGAATCTCAACTGCGTATCACCTTATCAAGAAGTACCCGGACCGACAAGTCACAGTCGTTGACCAAGATGCCTGGGACGCCGATAACCGCGTAGCAGCTTCATGGGACTGGAATAAGGTTGTGCGCGCCGACTACGACGATGTCATCTACTGCAGACTCGCTCTTGAGGCTCAAGATGTCTTCAAGGAGGACCCGTTATGGCAACCTTACTTCCACGAGACTGGTATCTTCTGGGTCTGCCGTTCAGATTACGCACAAGATGTCATCAACAACTACAAGAAGCTTGGACGTGAGGCAGACTTGCAATCAGTTACCATTGAGGAAGCGAAGAAGTTGTTTGGTGGCCTTTTCGAGGATGCGAACTACGACGGAGCAAAGAGTGTCCTGGTCAACAAGACAAGTGGTTGGGCACAGGCCGGTGATGCACTAAGAGCAGTTACCAAGTGGTCGATCGCAAAGGGCGTCAAGTACGTCACCGAGAAGGTCGAAAGCCTGGACTTTGACAACGCCGGCCGCTGCACAGGTGTCAAGACCGAGCAAGGCAGCACCATCAAGGCTTCGCACACTATTTTGTCAACCGGCGCCTACACCGCCAAGCTTCTCGAGCAGGCTGCTAAGACAAGTGGGAATTCAGACCTCCGTGCTGGATCAAGAATTGTTGCTGGTGGTATCACGACAGGTATGACGACCCTTGACGAGAAGTCGTACGAAAGGTTCAAGGACATGCCCGTTGGTGTTCAGGGCTACACCGCTGCATACGGACCCTTCATTGGCAGCTTACCGCCTACCAAGGACCGTGAGCTCAAGTGGTGGGGAGAGAAGATCTTCAAGAACACACACGAAGTACTCCCTGGCCGCTTCGTCTCTGCACCTCCATCTGGAAAGGATTACAACCAGTGGGATGTTCCTGGTCCGTTGAAGTTGGACATTTCTCACGCCAACGATGTGTTTTACGGCAAGAAGGGCGCAAACTGGAAGATGGACAAACACCGTATCTGCTGGTAAGTTCCATATTTATGCACTGCTACTTGATCAATACTAATGAACCCCAGGGATGCATTCACCACTTCATCTGACTTCATCATCTCGCCTCACGCCGCCGCCAAGGGTCTCTTCGTCGCAACATGCGGCTCATTCCACGGCTACAAGTTCTTCCCCGTCCTCGGCAAGTACGTCGTACAGATGCTAGAAGACGAGCTAGAACCAGAGCTCAAGGAGAAGTGGGCATGGGATCGCGAGAGGCCGGCGCCTAGCCTCAACCCTGACTGGCCGCGCTTCGAGATGGTGGATCTGCTGGACCAGTGGCCAAAGGCCAAGTTGTAAGATGTGATATGAAGTTCTATGACGAGACTAATGAGTGCTTGTTGCATATTTGCAAGGCGTCTGGGTGGGAGTTTCTTGTCCTTTAGATAGTGAATACTATGAACGATGACTGTTCCTTGTTAAGTTGCTTCGCCTCCATTATCCTCAGATTCGCCTCTGGTTTCTTCTCAATATGTTCCACTCACTCTCACATGTGCTCTAAGTAATATTCGACATCCTTTATACAAGCTATGTAGCACCGTCTTTGCTGCTCGTCAAGTGTCCTGTACATCTCTGTATTGCAAGCGGAATTTGAGGTTATCCCTAGAAATTCATGCTTCAGATCTCTCAATGCGCCTATCACGTTTATAGTAAGCCCGTTCGTCGCTTCGGTGGCTGTAGGGAAGTTGAAGGGTTGGATCTTAGGGGGCATATCTGCACACGAAGGATGTGGGAGCAAGGGAAAGATGTCGGTAGAATGGTAGAGACAGAAACGAGGATACAAGCAAGAAAAGGCTTGCACATCCTAATATATGATTGCTTATTTGTTATACGACTTCTTCCCAGATTGTTGTATTGCATGAGCCTAAGCGCAAGCAAGTTCGTATGTTTTTGGACAGCGAGCTGTTAGCAAGCGCATATGGCAATTTATCTCGACCTGACATAAAACCCTCTACCCGTCTTACATCTTACTCCTACTATTCTGTCCGAAAGCTCGCTGCGCACACCCTTCAAATGACGACCACATTCGATGACAACAAATTAATAAAAGTCTTCTACCATACTGTCACAAATTTCAGAGATATTTACCTGGCTGATGATGACAAACGCTATTACATCACAGAATCCAAACAGGAGAGATATCGAAAGCTAAGTCCGTACGACAGACAGTACTACCGATTGAATGCGGCGAGAATGATGTCGGTGTTGGAACAAGTGTTACACTGGACGAGTGATATCGATAAGAACTTGGGCACCGGGTACATCAACGGAGAGACACTGGCTGATATAGACCTGTGAATGCTAGACGTCACATAGCAATCCGAGAAGTGAGGCGAAGCAAGCGATTTAGAACTTTAAGGCATATACATGTTCATTTGATTCATATTTACATCGAAGAATGGCACCTGCGATAGGTGCCGGCCAGCTTTTGGTTTCCACTGTTCGTGCCAAAGATGCACTTAAGCAGTGACCTTGCTCTTGATGAAGGTGAGAGCCTGGTTGCCGTAGATGTTAACGTACTGCTGGTGGTGGTTGGCGTCGTTTCCATTGCAGCAGTATGGGTCCTGAGAGTCGCAGTAGCTCTGGATGATGCTGCTGCTGGCAGGTGCGCAGGTGAATCCAGCAGGGCGGGCGGCGAACTAAAGTACTTGTTAATAAGGATACCAAGAGTTGGAGAAATAGTGGACTTACGCCTTGGGCCTTGCAGGTACCGACGTTGTAGGGAAGACCGTTGCGGTTGTGTGGGTCACCCATGAAGATCGCCGCCTTGACGGCCTTGAGGGCGTTGCCGGTCAAAGTGGAACCAGCACCGCCGCAGATGGCGTTGTCCATAATTTGACCTCCCTACAGACTGTTAGCATTCGGCGTTCTTGGGGTTCATGACACCATCCGTACCTGAGAGTATCCGATAAGGACAATCTGAGTGCTAGGGCACTTCTGGTTGTAGGCAGTAACGGCCTTGACAACCGCTGCGGTTCCTTGAGAAGCGGAGTTGTCATAGGATACACCTCCGCAGGACGAGCCTCCACCGCAAGCTGGGTACACGATGGCTTCGGAGCCCGCACCAGGGTAGGCGGACTTGACCGAGTTTACAAGCCCGGCAGCGGTACCGTAGCCATTGCTTTGGGGTTGGGTAGTCTCACGAGCTCCGAAGATGTAGACCTTGGGGCAGCTCTGACGCTCAGCGATCTCGACAGGGCCGGCGGCGGCGAGACCAACAAAGAGAGCTGCTGCTGCGGAAAACTTCATGTTGACGTTGGAGGAAGTGGATACTGTGCTTCGGATTAAGTTGAGATGTCAAGGAGTTGTGATGATCAAGTCTGGGCAGCGGGCGATGTGTTTATAAAGAAAGTTTCATGTATCCACTGCAGCTGTCCTTTAGGCAAAATTAATCGCCTCGTCTATACATCATGCCCTATCAGTGGGGTACAAAGTAATGTTTTGCTTTGTCTTGGTGCACAGATGGTCCTTTCATCCGTCGTCGCAATTTATCTGAACAGTCCTGTGATGAAGATCGGACAGGGATTATTGCCGTAGCCCACGTCTGTTTCATGCAGAACCAAGCCTCGGCTGTCTGGGGTACATATAGATCCTAGTGTCTTCGGGAGAAAAGCGACCAAGCGAGCAAATAGAGGGCTGCAACGTATAGGACCCTCGGTACGTCGCGCGATGGGTAGATGGATGGCGTCGCGGCCGCGTGGTCAGATGATGTACCGGCGTGGAGCCGAACCGTCCTGGCTAAATGGGAATTCTCGAAAAGCTTGGGTTTGAAGTTTAACAATCCGGGGTAAAATGCTTGTTTTTGTGAGCCTCAGCGCTAAAATACTGTACCTGATGACGGATCAAGCATAGCTTCCGGATGTGCGTGAAGAACGCGTATATCGAGTATAGGGTCAAGAGAACTGATAGTGCTTGGAGGCTAAGTAGCCCTCATCGCCCCTTCAGCGCCCTCTCAGTCTCGGTGCTCATACGTTGACTCGGCGGTGTCGGAAGCAGACAGTGTCGTTCTAGTGCGACTCAAGGGCGGTCTGGTCGTACGAAGCGATAGAGAGCTCTCCTAATAATGAAACAATTATAGGGCGGGTCTGTCCGACCGCCATGTTTCAAACACCGGCCGGTCCACCACCAATTAATGCAGGAGCAGCTCGAAGAGAAGCGAACGCGTCCAACAGAAGCATGAGAGAATTTTCAATAGCAGGAACCTGTGATGTGATTAGATATAAGCTTCCTGAGGCGGAGAGATAGGTATTTCGAGGTGACGTCATTGCTGCTTGTCACGACTGGCTCCGGTATCGCGCCACCTCTAATCTTGCACTTGACATTCAACAAACCCCCAATCAAAACCGCCCGAGCCTTGTCGCCTTAAAGAGAACGCTGGTGATCAAGTTACCATCCCGCAAATATGGAGGATGATATGGATGAAAGCATACTCATCTAGGCAGGTACTTGCAGCTTGCTTCTGCGAACAAACAGCAGGCGCAGCTAGAACTCGTCACGGAACCTCATAGATAGAGTGACGCTTGGGAACATTCAAGAGCGCTGTTTGTAACAGGCAGACATGTAATTCTTCTGCGATGGAGGCTGTAAGATGAGCGCAGGATAGGCGAGGTAGTGGCGCAGTCAAGCGAGCAAGGCTCAGCCTTCTTGCTTATGAGACATGATTCCTTCGATCCTCTCGTCCTCTTCCACCTTACACCACGGAAGATCAGACTCTGCAGTATGTCCTTGCGAAAAAGCGTAAGCGACAATCACTTGAATCGGACGGCCGGCAGACATGGTACATCGGGCGAAGAAAGCGGCATTACGAGCCTAACGATACACGCAACGGACACGCGGCTTGATATGATTAAGAGTTGGATCAAAGCATGCGACGAGCACCACGGCTCACCGTGTTGTATACCAAAAGCTGACGCAAGTATATGGCCTATGTGGGTCATCGACGTCGTGGATGGATGCATAGTCGAAGGCGGTATTGCCGACCGTTATCTCACACTAAGCTACGTTTGGGGTGGGGTACAAACGTTACAAGCAACCACTGCAAATATCGAGCAACTCAGGCAGCCTGGAAGTCTCACCAGAGACAAAGTGGTTCTGCCCAAGACAATACGACAGGCTATAGACGTCACCCAGCTACTTGGAGAGCGACACATCTGGATAGATCAATTATCGATCCTACAAGATGATGAAGAACATAAACATGGTCAGATTAAACACATGGCGGAAATATACGCAAATTCTTATCTCACGCTTGTTGCTGTTACGGGCAAACTAGCGGACTCCGGTCTGGTTGACGACATCGATCAAATGCTGAACGAAACTCCCCTCAACAAGTGGCATGATAAGCATCATACAACTGCATTCATGGACATTCATAGTACATGGAGCCGTCGAGGGTGGTAAGTGGCACACAGTATAAGCTATGATTCGAGGTGCATAAACTAATGGTTTACCTGTTGTGTCTTAGGACTTTCCAAGAAAGAGTATTTGCGCGGCGTACTTTATCCTTCCTTGACCTCGTTCCAGATGTTGCTAGGCCCGGCGATCCATGTCCCAAGTCTCTATATTGGGTATGCCAACAAACATGGTGGTATGATTACCATCCTGATCCCACTGTAACAACAGAATCATGCAGATCGCTTTACCAGGGTGTGACCGATGTGTGGCTTAGCCAAGGTCACCGTTGGCCCAACTTCTATCGTTACCTAAAGCTTTGCGAGTCATACTCAGAAAGAGTCTTCACCTCTGATTCCGACGTTGTTATAGCATTTGCAGGTGCTGCCACTTTACTTGCAAAGTCGTTCCCTGGTGGCATACTGTACGGACTTCCTGTAATATTCTTTGATATTGCACTTCTATGGAATTATTCCGGGTCCGCATGCGCGAAAAGACCGTGGGATGCGACCAGCGATGAGAGCAACCGACCGCCGAGTTGGTCATGGATGAGCTGGCGCGGACGCTTGGACACGATTAACCAGGCTCATGTTTTTGAAGGAATGGCATGCGCGGATGACCCTGAAGAGATTGTATACAACATACCATCAACAGTTGTCATTACTCCACTTGTTCAATGGTACTTCACTGGCGTAGGAGGCGCACAGATTGCGATTGCGAACGAATACCACAAGTACAAGCATTTCGCACAAGATGGCGAAAGTGCCCCGCCTCCCGGATGGATCCGAGCTGAATCTTCATCTAGCAGCTCTGATTCGGAGAGAGAGAATGTTTACATTACACCAGCTGCCCCTAGGTTCGAATTTCGTTTCCCAATCCCACTCGTGGATTCGTCGTGCTCAGAGATAACGATACCGATGCCTATTTCGAATCGAATCACATGTCAGGCTGAGCACGCCTACTTCTACTTACGTCAGATCAAGCCCATAGGTCATCTTGAGCCCATACTTTTGCACATCCTTGACACCATGAGGGAATCTTCAGGTGTCATCCGCCTGCCTGGGGACTGGCATGAATCACATCTTGAGACCGAGATGGGAGTCGAACTGATCGCAATTTCGACCGAGAGTAGAGCGAAATATGAACTCTATCACGATGACTATTTTCCTCGGGAACATCGTAAGCCTAACGGCATATGGGACCTCTACAACGTCCTTTGGATTGAATGGACAGACGGTGTCGCCTACAGAAAAGCCGTTGGTCAGGTCACGAAAGCAGCATGGGAAGCAGCTGACCGGGAGCTCATCGATGTCGTACTTGGTTAAGAAGGGGTAGTGTTGATATCGCAGTTACATTTGCTATATTCTTATTTCAACTCACGCCAGAGCACACCCTCGCTTTCAATACTATGTTGCTCATCTCAGAGTGCTCTCCCCACTCATCCCCGTACTTTATGAGGCCTGGAAAAGCGCAGAACAGAAATTTGCGATCAATTTCCATGTCAGTATCATCTTCCATAGCGGGATCAACGTCGTTCACAGTTTCCATGGTACGGTCATCGAACTGCATATTGTCGTCTTGTCGGCGAAAGAAGAGTAGCTTGTAACGCGCTTTTTGTAGGGCGAGTGTTCGTTGCAAGCCCATTGCGTCTTTCAACATACCGGCCAACGTTGACTGTGCGTTGGGCGCAAGACTCACAGAAGTCAGCGTGAAGAGTATATGGCTAGCCTCTCCGGCGAGTCGATGTATTGACGCTTCGCTCTCTTTCTGGATATCCCCATTTGCTTCGCTGCGCTCGAGGACTTGTACCGTAGCGCGCACCCACTCTCGATGTGCGGTACCAAGGTGTTGTGTGCGCTCAGCAAACTGTCGCAGCGCACCCAGTGGACCTGTGCTAGGCAACCCAAATACGATCGAATTGTCAAAGACTTGCATAAGTGATGTCGAGACAACGGCTTGGTACAAGGCAAGTTTATCCGTGCTCTGTATGCTAGCCCTGTATTGCGGATTCAATGCGCGAAGCACATCTTCAGTCTCTTTTGGAAGGTTATCGAGGTTCAATCTTGACCGCCTAAAGTTCGAGACAGTCCATTCTCGCACGCGATTTGCAAGTTGGGAGAACGATTCTGCGAGCTCGCTGTCTGTGATTTGCGAATCCGTACGCGTGAGCGAGGATATGCTTGACTTCAGTGCCAGAAGCTGCTGGAGCCTCTCTTGCGACTCTTTTTCGGCGGCATGGAGGCGTAGTCGCAAGTCGTCTGCCTCCCCTCTTGACTGCGGTCGGTCAAGGCTGCGTGGATACAATCCGTCATGCGATGCGAGTTGTTCTTCGAGCTGTTCTTCGAGTTGCGCGACTCGGTAGCGCAAATCTGAGTTCTGGCGCAAAGCATCTTCCCTCCCATTCCCTAAGTGTCCCGGCACTCCAGTGTCTCTTTGGAGGCCACTCGACCCGCCAACCGGGGCTCCACCCGTATTCGAGCTCTTCTCAGCAAGTTGCTGCCTGAGTTCCTCGATTGTGTCCTGATCCGCTTGTCTAGAATGTCTCAGTCTCGACAAGTCTTCTCTGGCCATCTCCTGCTCTTCTCTCGCGATCGCCAGAGCTCTTTCGAGGTCCGCGACTCTATGTGATATCCGCGTAGCATCATCGCCTGGTGGCAGCATCTCTGGTCTGTTGATGAACTCATTGCTGGGCCCTGAAGGTGCGGTATCGCTCGGGAGATCTACCACACCTCCACTTTTGCGCTTCAGCATATCATTGAAGGGGTATTTGCGTCGGTGTACTTCGTCTTTTCTCGCATTTGGAGCAGCGATGGCGGCTTTCGGTGGAGTGACGACGGTATTCGCGGAGGTCTTGGTCGATTTCGATATTAGTCTCGTGCCGCGCTTCAAGCGGTGAGCAGATTCTGCAGACGTTAATACATACTAAAGTCGTTGGCTTGAAGTGCTGAAACTGACCAGAACTCTTTCGTTCGGTCATAGTTGAGCCCGGGGCGCGTTCCGATTTAGGGTCGCATCGGAACGAACTTCAGAGACGTGCTTCACCAGGACAAACCTTCAACACCCCGTTCGAGGAATATCACCGTCGCATGGCTCCATGTGGGACGGCAAGATTATGCCTGGCAGGACAGAATCCTGCAGCCTTGGGCGAGCTGATGATCACCAACTAGGGCCTGCAGCTGAGCATCTTCTCCAGCAATGGGTAGCGCGCCACTCCAGGCTTCGACATGACACTGACTGCGCATTTCGCCGGTGCCTGAATCATTCAATGTTTTTCAGGCATACACATTCATGACCTCGACGTCTTTCCCGCGCCAACCTACACGTCCATGATACCCCGGTGCATTTTGGTAGGATTCAGCCCCGCGGTCTGACCCACGCGACATCTACGCGATCTACCAGAGCCATCAACACAAGCACCGCGTTCAACGCCACGAAGAACGACAATGAGCCATACGTTTCCGAACCGAGGGAGTAGTATCCCGTACACATTCAACCCCGGAAGCAATGCGACTGTCGACATAACCAGCGTGCCCGAAATAGGTGGCCCTACGAAGGACAGGTTGGTCGTCGGCGTTGACTTTGGAACCACCTACAGCGGTTGGTAGCGACTATTGCACAATATGCGACCGACACGATTGGACGCTGAAGCTCAATAGGTGTGGCTGCTGTATATAGTGCAACCCCTGACGACATCGACATCATCAAGACATGGCCCGGAGGGAACGGTAAGTTCTGTTTGAGATATACCGATGTCATGCCTCTCCAGACTAACATACACGCGCAGGCATCACTTCCGACAAAGTACCCACAGAAATTGGTTACAGCGAATCACCCCCCGCCAACGGCTCGACCTCCTCGCTCGATGCGTCCGCGAAACCCGCGCAAAACATAAAATGGGGCTTTCAATTCAAGCCAGAGGAGACGCGTCTCCGGTGTATAAAGCTATTTCTCGATAGGAACCAGAAACTGCCGCATTTTGTATCACCGCTCGAAACTGCTGCGCAATTACGCAAGTTTGAGAAGACGGTTATGGAAGCAGTTTCCGACTACCTATCGCAGATATACAAGCATACGATGGAAACATTGACACGGAGATACGGGGAGACGTTTATCAGTTTGACCAAGGTTGAATTCGTCTTGACAGTACCTGCTGTTTGGTCGGACTCAGCCAAAGATGCGACGCTCAAGGCTGCGGAGAAAGCTGGCATGGGCAACAGGCATGAGCTGAAGCTCATATCGGAGCCCGAGGCCGCAGCGGTTTATACCCTCAAGGCGATACAACCAAACCATCTCAAGATCGGAGACAATTTCATTGTTTGTGATGCTGGAGGTGGCACTGTCGACTTGATAGCCTACAAGATTACCCAACTCCATCCTCTGCGTGTCGAAGAATCGGCAGTCGGTACTGGCGGCCTCTGCGGCTCGACATTTATCAACTACCGATTCGAAGACCACATCAAGCAGCGCATTGGCACCGAACGTTACAATTGGATGCGCGAAAAGAAGGTCAAGACTTGGAATATGGGCTTGAAGTACTTTGAGGAATTTGTGAAGCGCAACTTCAACGAGGAGGAACACAATGAGGTCAACATACCTTTTCCGGGGCTGCCGGACGATGAGGAAGCAGGATTAGACTCTGGGTTCCTTGTCATGAGCGCAGAGCAGGTCAAAGAATTATTCGATCCAGTAGTCCAAGAGGTCATTGATCTAGTAGAAGGTCAGGTTCACAGTATAAGAGCGAAAGGAGGTTTGGTGTGTGGCATTGTCTTGGTTGGAGGCTTCGGACAGAGCAATTACCTCTACGGTCGAATGAAGTCTCACTTCAACAGCGCGCCCCCGCCTCCGTACACAGAAAGACCCACGCACGCTGTCGCATTGAACGCCTCGCAGGCCGTCGAGATATACCACCCCATACACGCATGGACGGCGGTAGTACGAGGCGCAGTACTGCGCGGGTTGGAAGGCAATATGGTCATTAGCAGAAGAAGTCGATGGCATTACGGAACCAGCTACGCGACAGTATTCGACGAGGCAAAGCACCCCATTTCCGATCGATATTGGAGTCCGCTTTGGGAGCGATGGATGGTGTCCGATCGCATGCAGTGGCACATCGCAAAGGTACGTAAATCCCGCACCTACCATGCCCATGACTGTCGCACTGCGTACTAACACTCCTGTCAGGGCGCACAAGTGTCGGAAAACCGACCCATATCCTTCCACTACACGCGCAACTTTCGCCCTGGCCAATCTCTCATCGTAGAAGACGACCTCATAGCCTGCGACTCTGACACGGCTCCTGACTCCTTCAAGAAGGGTCTCATCAACGTTTGTACACTTACTACCGACCTGAACACGGTGCCAAAGAGCTTGTTCACGCGGTTGACGACGACAAAGGGGGTGGAGTTTGATAATCTAGATTTCACACTGGATATGCGGTGTGAGAGTGCGGGATTGGTGTTTGAATTGAAGGTTGATGGAGTGAGATATGGAGGGGTCAGTGCGAAATTCCATTAAGGGGGGAATACGATAAAAGAAAGAGATAGGGTGAGGGTATGTATGCAGAATAGACGTCAATAGCAATAGAAATGAACATGAGCTATCCGATCGTGCAAGACACTTGTTGCTTCCGGGACAGGATCGTGAAGAGCATCGCTCGTTCAGCAAATTGCCGGTGCTTCTGTATAGATGATGCAAGCATCTGTAATTAGTCCAGCGGTCGTCGTGGTCCCGTTGCTTACAGGCAGTGTGAAGGATACCAATATGCGCTATCCGCAGGGAGGATCGAGAAGCTCGCATGATTTGACATAAAGCCTGTTGGTAGCGAAAAGAGTGGTGGTGGGTTGCCTTCACCGGCTATACGAATTACCTTGACGTGGCGCCAGCCACAGAAGAGCTGCTGAAGCTACGAGAGCAGATCGATGATCATTGCATTGTCGGCATCATCGGTGATGTCGGCATAGTTGCTATTGCAATTGAAAGCAAGGGCTTTGGGTTGCGTATGCCAGAAAATTTCAAGGTGTGCAGAGGTCATGTTTAGGTTTGAGTTAGGGTTGCGTGCACTACTCTATCTGAAGGCAGTAGTGGAGTTGGGCAGCGTATGTAGTGTTGCAATCCATCTGGGTTCCCACGTATGGGTGTAACGGATGTAAGGCCCGTTATGGATACAAGACCGATGCTATTCTCAGAGAATAAGTTCAACGCACGAGCAGGGTGTCAACTTTAGCCCAACATGCTTCGGATGATGGAATACCCATGTGGTGCTCGTGGGGCAAGCGCGATATACATCCAGGGGGTGGGGAAGGCCGGAAACCTAGTTTTGTACGAAAAGATTGTAGTCGTAAGAGACTGTTTAGTCACAGATTAGAAAAGTGCAAGTCAGTCAGCATACCAAGATAGTCATGTACCCTGGTCAGATGCGCGTTTACACTCCAAGCCCAAGACACGTAGACGATTTTAGGTTGATACACCTTCACCTAGGCTATCGTGACTGCGCTATGTTTCCTTTTTGTGACCACAGTACACCGGGCGAACAGCTTCCCGGGGACGTGTACACTTGCACACTTGGCAGTAATCGGAGATTGTAGTGCGGAACTAAAGACCCGACGATATGTGGTGTTGGCGATCCGTCTAGTTTTCCAAGGGGTGCGTCTGCTAGTGGAACCCCGCATTTGGGTTCCATATGCGAAGATCGTTGGTAGCGATTCTGTATTCACGATCGCTCGGGAAATATCCTCCCGCCTGTAAGATCTCGAGCGTGCAAGGTGGAGATTGCCGTGAGGGTGGAGTGAGATTGGTGGCGTGATAAACTTGCAAGTATTGCCAGGTTTACATGGCGTTTGGAAATAAGACAAAGGCGTACCGTACCCATGCGAAGCAAGTAGTCTCTAGTGGGGCCTTTTCAGGCGCACACACAGTGAAGGGGTTTCGTTACTAGATCTGTTCTTACGTAGTGGAGCGACACGATACTGAATGCGGTAATTTGGGCGAATCATGTTTCGCGGAAGCTCGCCCGTCCACAACTGCCGCAAATCGGATCGGACGCTCTACCGGTGGCACGGGCAAATCTCCCGAACAAAGCCGATGGGAAAATGGTTCTTTTGATTCCCTCGAATCATTTCGTACAGGCACAACGATGCTACAACGGTGTGTCTCTCTCATGGCGTTGCTAGAAGATGCAAGCAATCAATGATTCAGGGTCTGTAAAGATCCTGCCGAGTCAAGTGCTGTGCATAGCTAGTCAACGGGACTTGCCTTTTCGCACATCCACTGCCACAATCCGCTAGAGATGTAGAGTTGTGAAACCAACGTATCATGACGACGGACCGATACCAAGATCGGCTCTTCGATTCGAGATGCACAAGCTGCAAGTTCTGCGTAGAGTACCATACTACGTATAACCTAGAGAAAATAGTGTCGTCGTTGGCGACCAAGTAGAACTATAGTTTTCCTGAACTGTTGTTCGGATATCTCCGTTCCAACTATACCCGGAGACTTATGACGTAGTCGGCAGAATGATTAGTCTGGGAAAGAGCCGTATATCGTACACATACCAGCTACACTTGTCAGCAAGTGAGGCTGTTTGCTCGTTAGAGCAAACGCTTTGGTATACCGGCTTTCTACCTAAATACAGAAAGGCGTCTCCGAAGGGGTTGAAGTTAAATCATAAGGCGATTCGACGGAAACCTCGCCAAGACATGATCAGCTATGACAGCTCGACGGAGCTTTCTCCGTAGCGTTCTGGTTGATTGTCGCAGGAAGGTTTGATGGTTCGGCTGTTGATAGCGTACGCTGGAGGCTATTGCCAACGTCGAACCGCGTCTAGAAATGCGCGATCGGCGTTATTCTCGCGATTCTCAGGCGAGCAATTGCGCGGCTGTCAACGTGTCGTGCCGACTCTCCTGAAGATCTTCGACTGAGTTTACCAAAGCGGACACTAGTCAACGTGATGTTGATCTCCAGCGTTCTGGTATAGGGATCCGCCATGTCGGGCAGGCAGTGTGGCAACAAGACTGGACATAGTCAGATGCGCTAGAAAACTTCGTGATTGCCAAGCTAAGATGGACTTGGTGTTGAGTGTGGTGTGAGGGCCTCAGCAAAACCGAAACAGCGAACAATGTCCATACGAAAGACATGCTAATTCGATCCAAAGGGGTGTGCTTAGTAGCGATATCTCCGGCCGAACCACTCTTGATGCTCTTCGGGCAGCTGTGCGCAATTTCATGAACACCCTAAGCTTCCGTACATTACCCAAAGTTTGATCGGAATGCCTTTACTCTAGGCAACGCTTCTATTCTCAACGCTCAGGACTCGTAGGTGTGGTTGTATGACTAGCGTATCCCCGAGTATCTGCCCGTGACTAACTCTTGAGGGTGCGGATTCGAGAACCAGAGAGCCGGGAATTATTGGTAATTGCTTTCAAAGCAATAAACTCGCCGGTGTATGATGTGGTCGCATAAGAAGGGCGATATTGAAGGTATGCAAGGGTGCATGACTCTAACATGCAGACGAACTGCCGTGGTGTTGGAAAGTGCCTTGATGGATAGTTGCTAGCGTCAAGTCGATTGTACTACCATGTTCCAATAGCACGGAATGCAGCAGGCACTGCGGGGGTTGTGATGCAGCCACAGTCATACACGCTTCTTGTCGACGTCCGAGGATACCGCAGTATAGCAGCAGTCGATGTTTGTGAGATGCGTGGGGTTGTGAAAGTAACATTCATAACACAACGCGGACGTGGGGGTAACTGCTGCATACTCGCACTGGCATGGCAAGGTAGCACCAAGGCTACGTAACGTTAGCTCGGAGATGTTGGTGGTCCTCACAGATAGCGAGCTTGATAATGTCGCCCATGTCCGCTGCCACCTGCTTCGAGAGGTTAGCAGTCGTGTTGCGAGTGAAGAAGGTGTATCAGTATCGCAGTTGGAATCCAGGTGGAGATGTATCTTGCGCCGGCGGCGGATTGCACCGCGGCCAATCAGTGCATATGCAGAAGGCGACGAGGGTCGAGGTGAAGGCTGTTACGCGGGATCCTTCGCATTCGCTATCTTGCAAAATTCCTACGCTACAATTGGCAGGCACACGCTGCGATGTCCCAGGGTGGAAGTTGCATCTAAGCGAGCCAAGACTGACGAGGGGGGAAAGCACGATGCAAGCCTCGCACGAGCGTTCGTGAACGGATGAAGCGCCGTTCGCCTGTCCTGCGGCGCAAACACCAACTACTGACCACCATGTTATCCCCGACTCCACGAGTCCAGGACAGCCGGCGCTCCGCAGTATCGATCGGTTGATGTCCGGTATGTTTCAGATACACTGCCGTCAACAATTTAGCCAAAATGCGTGACTGAGCCCGATGCACGACCATTGTAACTACGCGCACTCAAGCCTAGGGACTGGAAATCGGACTGCATGATTACCGATAACCTGGTCAAAAGGCGTCAAGTTGACATTACCCTCCAATGACGCGCGACGCTGACATAGGCTGTCGGCACCGGCAGCACGCGGTGCTGACCACGAACACGATGAGCATGCGGACACATGGAAGAAAGAAAAATGGAGAACGTGGGATACCTTTTCCCTGCTTCTGGAACAAAGGGAGGCTCACTGGGAAAAAGAAATACCCTCAACGCCTCACCATCCATGCGCCACTGCGGACCGGTGGGGGGAGACGCTGCGCAGGTGCCGTCGGGAAATAGCAAGCCTGCTGGAAACCGTCTGACCACAGAAAATTCGAGACGTATTAATAGGCCCGAAGCACTTTTGTATCAGATCGCTTCTCCACGTGCAGTCGCCCGTCTTGGACAGCGCCCGCACTATTGGAGTGCAAGTCATGCAACGACCATAGCCATAGCGCTGGGTCAGGCCTCATGCGCATTAACCGACCACCGGCGGCCATCACGTACTACAATCAACCTTGGCCAGTGACATACTCGCTTGACCACGCTTGTGCAACGCAACTGTGGAATCGCTGATTGTCCTCAATCACGATGACGCGAGTGGAGATTAGTCGAGCCTTTTCCAGGGCCCTGCTAGCGAAATGAACTGTGTGGAGAAGGACGCGCTTTCACAGCCAATTTGTCGCAGGATAGCCATACCATGACAGCGCCAGCAGTTCACGTCGGCGTTATCCCTGTACCACACTTCGAGACCTCTCCAACGACCGTGAGCATCGGGGGATCATCGCAGCGGGCATTCGCTACCGGGCATGTCACGTCACGACCTTTGCGTATTGGGCCCTCATCTGCGCAAACCAAACCCTACCAGTCTCCAGTCTGCGTCAGCTCTCCTGCTCAGGCAGTTCGGCCCTGTCTCCATCGAGGCCTTTATCGCCGTCTTCGTCATCTTAGATCCGGACACTGTTGAATCCTACCCTGGCTCAACCACGCTTCCCCGGCGACGTTCGTACGCACAGAGCCATGCTAGATTAACCTTACAGCTTGCATACTCCTGCAGTATACTGCCTTGTATAGGCCCCTTACATACGGAACCAGAAATCGGGATAATCAGGCATACATTACACCCGTCTTGACCAATCGCAAGCTATCAATACAGTGGCTTGACTAGACTTTCAACCAAGAGCGATACAAGTGGATCGCGCCGCCGCTGACGCTAGGCGGCTACCGCTGGCTGTCATCGCATCACACCGTCGAGACGTGACAGGCAAAGAATCCCAAACAGCGACTGTGCGAAGGGTCCGAGAGCCATCAAGTCATGACGCTCGGACTTGCTGGCCTGCACACCCATCCATCCCGCACATCACTTGGTCCAAGCGGGCCCACCAACAGCAACCTGGTCGCTTGGCCTCTAGAAGATGATCTTGTGCTTGTGAGGAAGGAGCATTGATGAACCCTGTGAAATCCTTAGGTGCAAGAGGCGCTCCAACGCAGCAATCCTGTTGCGTAGTAGCGCGGATATACTTCGCCACTTTTAATCATCCACTCATTCAACCAAACAGCGTCGTGTAAATTTCTATATCCAGTCCCTACTTCTTTTCGTATGTATGCAGGCTTTTGCTTTTGGCGCCTGTTGTTCTCAAGATTGCAATGCGCCCCCGCTAAACTAACAGCCGTGGTAACGACTAGCTGACATTAGCTGTCACTGTCGGTGCGCAACTGCTTCACCATCGCTTCTGCTACTTGGTTATTTACCTGGGTCTTGACTATCATTACCTGTTAACCCCTGCTGTCTTGTCAGTGCGCCTTTGAAGCATTGATTAGATCGAGAATCCCATGGTACGGTAGATCAGCAAGTGTCCCGTCGTCTCCTCCCGCGGCAAGATCTTGTAGTGCCGACTCCAGCGTTTGAGAAGTCGCCCTGTTTGACCTCCCAGGTATGTACACTGTTTAGCTTCCTGTCCATCATGGATCTTTGTGGGGCCTTGTTGAACTTTAAACATTAAATGCTTATACCCTCAGGTCCTTCAATGCGCTACCGCATTACCGTGTGTTGATATTCGGGTCTTGCGACAATCAGTGCGCCTCACATGGCTGTGGGTACAGAACGCCGCGCGAAGAAGACGGCATCTAGGCTAGAGCAATCGTTGCTTTTACAGCCCGTTCAAGACACCATGTCTTTCAATCCCCCGAACCATAGCTCTGGGTTTGGTCGTTCCCATGCCGCCGACACAGCTTCCACACCAAGCCCCACAGACCAATCCGAGTCTGTTGCCGATTCTTCCACTGGTCAAGAACCTGCTGGTCAACCTCACCATCACTCGAATAAGAAAAGACGCTCCTCGAAGAGCAGCAAAGCGGGAGAACTCCGCAAGTCCTCATCAACTCCACACATGCGCCATTTAGCACTTGGGAACCCTGGCGACCTGTCGCCAACAAGTAACAAGCCGCGGAATAAGTTGGGCTATCATAGAACTTCGGTCGCATGTGGTAAGCTGAGAAATAAAATCCCATGGTGGTGCATTACTTGATCACTGACTGGTGAGGGTAGGTCATTGCAGACGTAGAAAGATACGATGTCTCTTAGCTCCAGACGATCCTGCAGGCCGTTGCTCCAACTGCATTCGGCTGAAAAAAGAATGCAACTTCTACCCAGTTGAGCATAACCCCGATCTGCCGCATGTCCCAACTATCTCGTCGAAATCTGGTAGCGCAGTACAACCAGCTACACCAGTCGCTACTTCACCTCGGCATAGCGATGCCATGGGCGAATTCCGCACACCATTCTCTGGACCTGCGTCAAACGGTCAACCTCCAAGCTTTGGGTATCACGGCGATCATGAAAGCGACCGTCACCAAGTGCCTGTCGATGGCCGTATGTATTCTGCCATCTCGGTTTTGCAAACGCTAACCAACAAAGTCCCAGTACAGCATCCCTCTTATCCATACCCTCCTCCTATAGAAACCCAGTGGCCATCAGCGAACGGTTTCTTACCTTCATCTACCGTAGCCGAGAGCCCCTCATGGCGTAACTCACCTTCGACAGCAAACTCAGCATATGGCAGTGAGTCAAACGTTTCAGGTGGTCATACACCAGCCGCAATGAGTACGAGCTCGACTATGTCCTATGGTCACCAGGACTCTCATTGGGGTCAGCAACCACCATTCCAACCGCCAACGCGCTCGATGTCATACGGCAACATAGAAGGACTTCCCCAACAATATTCTGGTCAAGGCCTTGGCATTCAGCACGAAAACTACCGACGTACTTCTCCGTATCCATACCCGACTACCATAGACACAAATCCTTCCACAATGCACGCGACCACGGTAGGCGGATCTACGTCGGCACCCCTATCCGCGCCCGTCGTTCCCAATCACTCTTATTACCCAGCTCCCTGGTCATCATACGACGGAATGCCAAACCACGGTCCACCAATGCCTTCATCTGGACGATCAATGAGTGCGCAGTGGTATGCAGAACCGGGACATCTAGATCGGGTACAAGAGGAGGTCACTCCACCAATGGCATACCACCATCAGGGCTTGCCACAGTTCTACTCTGGAGCATAGGCAGATCAGACCAGCAACTGTGCCTAAGTCACGACACTGCCTCTTGCAACAATACAACTTCGGCGGCACTATCAGAAGCTATACACTCAGATTCACATATTCACCATGGTGGCACATGGAATGAATTACTGGCTGCTTAGAAAGCCTTCTGGAGTGAACGCCTCATCATCAAAAATTATCATTCTTGGAGTTATTCGGCGCGGCACGACTGGTTTCACGATACAGGGTTTGGAGATCATGTTTTTTTTTTCATGGACCAATACGTGATCTTGGGCGCTATCGGCATCGCGATTGTTTCTACTTTTACAAACACTCTGTAAGAGGTGGCCCTCTTCATGTTCATTTCAGTTTCGCTTGAGAAGCCTTGATCTTCCATTGCGGCGGTTTCGTCTTCCACTCTCAATCGGCATTTAATCCCGTCTATCACATGTACAAACAGCACCGATTGGACCGCATCTAGAGGAACGCGACATGTAGCTTCTGATTACGCCTCAAGCACATGCGCTGAATTCGATACCCATATTTCAACTCATCGCTACTTGATCATGTGAACACCTCGGTACGTCTGTGACATCAGTTTCCTGTCGTTCACGGTGTGGTGGCGTCCTCGCAAGGATGCGTTACCCGCAAGGTTTCACGGAGAACGCGGAGTGACTAACGCGAAACCTTCTCGTCTAGATTTACACTGGGCACTCTGCAAGGTACAATTGGCGACTGAGCAAGGTACTTCCTTACCATGCTGGCATTCCTGCTTTAGATGCTTTAGATTGTCATTTTAGCCTTGGATATCAGGCATGCTCCCAACGCTGAGTAAACGTAGTCACATTTGAATCACGTCACGGTTAGAACACTGGCATACGCTCTACAAGTCTAAATCCATTCACTCATCACGGAATCCTGATGCTCCGTGATTTCCAGTACGGTCTATCTCATCAACACTCTTCACGCCAATACCAGCAATGCAAAGATGGAGTTTTTTGTGTCAATTGTATCATGCATGGAGATTACGGACCGGCTATTAGCGAATGGCAGTGCACTGTAGCCGTAGGGCACACGCGATCATTAAGCAATATAATTGGAGGCATCGTCGTATCCTCGTACCTGCGTCAACGACCTATAAAACCGGATGTTATTACCTCGGCCCTCTATTCTGGCGACACCATGTATAATTTCAGAAGTTACCAGCTGTCAACAAAGTTTCCCATGACGTTTGAGCTATTTTGCAAGCGACGCAGGTATCCCAGGACTAGGAACGACTTTCTCTTCCCAGCCCGAACCTGCGGACATTGCGCAAGCGCCCAGACCTCCTGTCCAGACTTCTTGAGACTGTCGTATGCGACTCCAGTATCCGAGCCTCGGTCATTCAAGGTTACTGTTGATCCACTTTTTCTAGTCGCTTCTCCAGGACATAAGGAAGCTTGGGCTTACAGTAATCCTCCTTCAATTCCGGGCCTTGAGACATGGCTGCGGAATGAACGGAAATTGCTTTTGCCCTTCTTCCAGTTTTCCTATACGACTTTTTCCCCGCTACCACACAGCCGGGAAGGAGGCCCGTCGACGTTTGCTCCGGAATGGCCCTTGATCCTTTCCGACCATTTTTTCGCTGATCCTTCCAGGCTGACTCATGGGCTCCAAAGCCTCGGTTGCGAGTCCTCTCGGCGTTCTTACCACAAAAGTGGAGGTGTGCCTGTACGAACTAAATCGGATCAGAGAAAATGAGGTGGGCACTGGACTCAACGCATGGATGCGAAGAGGTGCATTTACTGCTGCTTATTCCCAGCAGCGACTACTGCAGCTGTCGTCAGGGGTCTTCGTGGAGAAATGTGCGTAAAAATCGCTAGTTCGCAGTGAACACGTTAGTCGTATCAAGCGTGGTTACGTACTCGAGCTGGTGCTCAACATGTTCGCAAGTTTCAGCGAGACTGACGAACCACTCAGCAGCTGCGAACCTCATGCGCCCAGGTTCTCGACGTTACACAAACGTACACGCACTTCGCTGCAGCCCTATGCGTGAACGACTTACTCGCTGCGCAACGTTACATCATTTCCTGGTGACACAACATCAGGATTTCCTGTAGGATTTGGGGGCGTATCTAGGCATCCAATCGCGCATTTCTCACATGCACAACACTGGAGCACGATTGGTTTGTCCTGTCATGGTTAGGCGTGCTGGCGGGTTGTCTTCCGTCACTAGTACTGTATCCACCCTGATCCTCACCTTCGCTCTGTCCGCACGCGCACACCACTATGCTGTCATCACATTCCACCACGAATACCACCTTGTTAGCGTCGTAAAAGCCGGCCGTTGCCGTGTGACAGTTATCGGCATCTGACCCCTGCAACGGAAGGTCACAACGAGTGTTGCAATCGCAGTCGCGTTCACGCGCTTCTGCAGGGCAAAGAACATCCATGGATGCATGCCAAGTTGGGAACACTACCTTCTACATCGCTCAACTTACGCATATCCAACAGTCAGAGTCTCTGGACTGTTACTCATGGAAAATTCACGCGTCTAAAGCCGCGGAGACAGACCCATGCCAGATCCGCCTATCCGTGCTTTCTGTCAGTCATTGAGTGCGCACCGTACCTCCCGTTCCGCTTGATCTTGACGCCGTTTCAACGATCCAGGCTCACGTTGCGAGTATTAAGCATCAGCGCATACAGCCATCTTTCTCATGCATGCTAAAAAAGCTACAGAGACATATACAACGACTCGGAGAGCATGCAACCACTACACTTTCCGTCTCTGACCAATAGCCTCTCCCTTGCATCGCTGACCCAACCTTCACGATTGTCAAACAATCTAATCTGCATACTCACAAAGCGGCGTGACTTGCACGTAATGCGCCTATCCTGCACTGCGCCGCAAGGCCGCATCTGCAGCATTAGCCGTCCATCGTCCATGTCGACTGCTACATCCTTCCATCCGATCCGGGCAGGATTCCCGAGCTACGCCCCAATCCCACATGAAGTAGAACAACAGCCCATACAACATGCATTAGGCACAGGTACTGGACACTGCTGCTTTGGATCCGCTACAGACGCATCATGCGCGTTCGGACCTTTTCGTCCTGCTGCTCGTGTTACCACGTACATGTGCGTGGCATGCACTCCGGAATCTTGGCTTCACGCATGGCGTATTACGCAAACTTACTTCCGCGCGCCATGCGATCCAGGCGTTGGGCTGTTGGAGAGCTAGACGGTTTACGGTTGCTCACGTACTTACACGAGGCGATGATGCGCATGCGCCGTTTATTGTAATAACACGGCTGAACCATAGGGTGGGTAAGATGGATGGTGTGCAAATCGTTCCAAGAATGATTACCATCTTGATATCAGTGAGTGCTGTGGATGTGGAAAGTCGTATGCGAAGATCTTCTCTTCTGCATAACACAGCGTCATCACAACATAAGAGAAAGGCTGTGAAGGTCTTCCAGCTCTCCACTCATGCACAATTTCGCCCAACCTTTTCTCCCATTTTCCCTTCGAATCCCTTGCATTTCAAATATCGGTAATGATCAAGTCTAGCGCATATGATTCCAAAGACTCGACGTCAAAAAGAAGGCCCGAATAGCACCAGACACTAGCAGACGTCTGCCAGCGCTTGATGTGGATTGGAGACTGCATACTCTTCCACCGGCTGCAATTGTAGCCGGTGCCTACGTTTGACCTAGCAGCCGCCGCTTGCTGGTCTCTAGCGATTGGTAAAGGCTTGTTTGAATGTTGAAACGGAGCCATGGAAAGAGCCGGTACCTCATTTGCATATCTACCAATAAGTCTTCGTGACTAGGACCTTCCAAGCACTTGGTGATGCGTGCTGTCGAGTTGATTTGGATGTCCTCAAAAACGAGGCTAGAAATCACGCATGTATCCATTCGTGCAAGCGAGCAATAGCCTTCACAGAACCCACTATATCGAAGTGGTGTGGTGGAATCCTTAGACCTGGGCGCAAGTGAAACACGTCCGTAGTCACGATTCTGCCGCACACTGGAATACATTTCTAGCATGAAATCTACTCTACTTCGCAGAAGCTTCTATGATAGTCTAGGTTGTGCGCTGGTATTGCATCAGAGCTTGAGGGATTTTGTGAATCAGTACTTTGGTCAGCACACTGCCTTCATATACCAGTGTGTTAGATCATTTCGAAACGAACATGAATAGAGTAGAACAAAAGAGAAATCACAATGAAAGCCATCGACTTATAGAAGAGAAATCTTATTCATGCTCTAATTTAGACATTTGCTGGTGTGAAGAAAGGTCTTCCTCACCTAGGCCTGCAGCAGGTCTGACGTTTCAGTCATGAAGAGCAGCGTATGTTGTTGCTATACATGCACTCGCGCTCATTGCAAAGAATTTGCAGGATATATTTGTAGCATTCCTCACTATAGCATCTCCCTGCAGTGCCCATTGAGTTTTCGTGCGAGGGAGGTACTGCAAGATAATTAGCTCGAGAATGAAGAAGCATCAAATAGTACTTTAATAGTATCTAGCGTAGAGATTCAAGGATTCCGATGCTCTTCTGACAATCAGATAGGAGTACAAGAAGAAAAGCGAAGCATACATGTGGTCGAGTTCAAAATGGAAGATTACAACAAGGCAGCCGGAGGAGCATGAAAGAAGAGCTCTTTGCGAGGTAACGCATCACAAGCTAAGGCAAGAGTGTCGTAAACGTGCCATGTGTCATTGTTGTGGGCGCTGTTGGCCATTCAGCGCGAAATGTCCAAAACTGTCAAAAGTATGTCCTTCACCACCACCACCACCACCCCTACCAGCATAGGGGGACCAAAACATAATCACTCAAGCCCGAGGCTCCATCCAGAACTACTATTGCGCAGTTTCGGCAGCTAGATAGACCGTAGTAGGTTGTGGTAGCAAAAAAAGGGGATTATAAAGGTATGGTAGGACCTTCACCCTCAACACCAGAGCTACACCTCTACAACCATCCAGCAAAAATGAACGATTGTACAAGCCCGACGTGGGGGTCGAACCCACAACCTTGAGATAACCAATCGAGTCTTTAGGACGTGAAAGCTAAGAGTCTCACGCTCTACCGATTGAGCTAGCCGGGCGATTTGAAGTAATCAGACGATTGATGAAAGTCTGGCTGGTTATAACGCTTATATCAGCATATCAATCGTAATGAACGGGGATCTTGAGTTCTCAAACTCCTTGTCGGAGCGTTTGGATGGTACAGATTGGCAACGAAGTGGGGTGAAAGGAAAATTCTGCGGTGAGCCCGAACCGGGAGAACCCCGCCTCCGACCCAACCAAATAAAACTACACCACACCAAAACAACGACTCTCGCCGAGAAACTCGTCTCGAGGCCTAGGTGCGGGCACTAGTGTTCTAGGTCAATTTATAGTACACGTGTGAATACATTCTGCTACACCATTCATAATTGTTGGACGTTTGTATTACAACCGTAAAGGTCTTCTTCACGCGGCCTGATTACAAGTCTGCTTGCTGCTGCCTGCTATATTTACTAACCATAAATTGTCTATTGATAATAACCCGACCGCATTTCGTTCCCGTAAGAAAGGTTCAGATCTCCTCATCAAACCTCCAAGTATAGGCGGGACCCAATTGTCTCCACAAAGGACGCCAAATTCGACTGCATGTATGGTCTAACCTAACAGTGTATTGTCGTCGAGCTGTCTGATATTACGTTGTTCGCACCGATACTTATCGGTCATTAAGCTATCTTTAGCTGACATAACGCCGTGATCTCCAGAGGGGGTTGGTCGCATCGTAATGTACAGTCTACGCATACGATCATATTCCAAGGGTATACAATCTCGATGCCCAATCAAAGACGCAAACTCCTTCTATGGTGCCTAACTCTTTCGCTGCGACTCCGCAACATCATCACAAAGTATCCAGAAACTGTCAAGAACAAGTCTCAAAAGTTCATTCCGTCCCAATTGCTTTGCGCCGGCGCTTCATATCTCTCTCGCCGTAACCTATCGTTCTCTTCAATCAACGCATCCCTCTCTTTCTCAATACTCTGAATATACTCAATCGCCGATGACAAAATCATCGCTTTGCTCGGTTTCGGCTGCCCTATCGCACCAGCCTCGTCGCTCTGCCTCAATATCGGTACGGACCTTCTCAGCCTCTCCAACTCCGAGTTGAGCCCTTCTCGATACTTGCGCTCAACCTGGTTATGCGGTAGACGTTTCGAACGCTGATATTTTGTAGTAGTTGGAGAGGTCATGATTTCATTGTCGGTGCTACTACGGTCCATCTTCGGTCGACCCCGCTTCCTCGTGGGGCGTTTGGGAGTGGACGATTCGGATGCAGAGGTTGGCGATGATGGGGATTCGCGCTTCAGCATGTGGGGTGAAAGGGAAGGCGATATGAGCGGTTGCGGCGCGTCTCCACTGAGCGACGAGGGTTGCGACGTTGTGCTTGTAGGGGAAAAGCTGTCTGGTTCGTTCGGTTGGAGTTGCCTCGTATTTATCGCGAAGCTGAATGGATATTGGCCGAGTTGACTAGGGTGTGAATTGAATGCTTGCGTCATAGGTTGTTCGTTGCTTCTTGATGGGATGTTTGTCGCAGAATATGTCGAGCCGAATGTTTCTTGCGCTTTCGATGTGTCGGTGACACCCTCTACGGACGTCAAGGCCTGGTCGAAGAAAGAGTCGGAGTCGAAAAAGGTGTTGAGCGAGTAGTCCGGAGCCGGCTCATTGAGGTAGGGGTTGTCGAAATAGTTCGTGTACGGCATAGTGTTTTGTGGTGGAGAGTGGTCGGTAGGCTCGATCTTGTTTCCCTGCGCATTACTCGGGGCGTTCATCAAGACTTTGTTGACTCGTGTATCGAGGGAGGTACTCGTTGGTGTATGATGGCTGGTGTATCGGTGTCGCTCGGAAAGACCAAGGCATTAATATTATAAGGATACGGGGACGTAATTGTATCGACGATTCGAGAACTGCACAGCCAACAGAGTAGGTAATAGGTCCTTGTGACTTGCTGAGAATCCACCACTAGGATTGACCAGGTTCCGGTGTAGTGGCTCGTCAAGTCAAGATGCTTCCAGTAGCTGTACGGTAAACCCAAAATCGCAAGTGATATGTGGATCCATGTACTCCTCAACCATTATTGGCACGGCTAGCGAACCCTTCCGCATCCGCGAGCTTCACTGAAACATCTGACGCTCAGCCAGGAGATTGAAATTTTAACAAAACTGCGAACGTCGAACGATAAGCACCTCATCGGCGCAGTCCGGTAGGAGCAGCATGTCGTGTAGTCTCGGGACAAGCTCCACTGCGCCGAAAACCGCTTCCCGCGTATGCTCCGACACCGAGATGCCGACGTGACTCTGAATACGCATCGCAAGGACAGCAATCCTCGTTTTCGTGCGTATAGCCGAGTGTTACTGTGTTGATCCTAGTCCAAGGCCCAAATTGCGGTATAAGACCGCACAGTAGTTCATAGGCAATGATGCAGGATCTTGCTTGCTTCGCTTTTGCGCGGCAAGCTCGGGACGGGTCGCATAAACCAGCTTTGATTCCGGATGGATTTTTTCGAGAGACGATCACTGGGTTGCGTGGTTAGCAGGTACCATTGCAGTATCGAAATCCGTGGGTAGTCGTCAGCGAAGGATTTCCGGATGATGCCCTCTTTGTTATTGATGTACATGAGATGTGTTCTGATGTAAGACATTGCTTTCTCGAGAGCATAAGCCTGTTTTGTCAAGTACTGCATTACATCGTTGTGCGTCAACCGAAAACGGTAGAGGTTCTACCAGAACGCCTGTTATGGTACCACGTTTGGATGCTAGGGTATGCCAACGGGCGTTCCCGCTATTCCTGGAAGCGCATGGGAATAGTCCGGGCTTAACAAGATGAGTCGAGAAGTTCTTTCGCTGCACATGTGGCTGAGTTAAAATTGGCGTGAGGCGCCTCGTAAGAATGGCGTGATACTGGTCCGACACGATCAAAAGGGGTAAGTTTAAGAGAGTGAGGCAAGGATACCCACAACCCATGCCCGTCGCGTTTCTCTGTAATCAACCTCGGTGCACACAACAAGAACAATCATGATTCTGCACGCGACTTCTTCGTCGACGCCGCAAATGGTGTGAGAACATTGAAAGCGAGCGATAGCGTGACTGCGCAGTCGGAATAGTACGTAAGATTGATCTGCATCAAACAGCATGTCGCGATTTCACACAGGGACAAGACAATGGCGACCTTTCTTCAGCAGCGAAGGTAGTGTTCTCGTTGGTGTACATACATGGTGAAGCTGCTGGTCGCAGCACTGGCGATTTATTAAGGTTACCACTTCCCGACCCCACTACCCCTCATGGAGCGCCAACTGCTCAAGCTTAGAGCTCTAAGTACCCATCATGTCAACCACGACCACATCAACAAAGCCAGGCCACGTCAGGACGCGATTTCTCGTCATCTCGGATACTCACTCTATTGCCCCTGCTGACAATATCGGAAACAATGATGCGTCCTTCCGCCCACCACTGCCCAAGGCAGATGTGCTCCTACATTGCGGCGACCTGACCATGATCGGTCTTTTGGAAGAGTATGAAAAGACTCTTGATATGCTGGAGAGTATCAACGCGGATCTGAAACTCGTGATAGCTGGTAACCATGACATCACTCTGGATGAAGAATATTATGCTAGAAAGGGCGAGAACATGCACAGGGGCAGACACGACAAAGACCTACCTGCGAAGGCGAGAGATATGTGGACGGGCGAGAGAGCTAAGAGAGCTGGTGTGACCTACCTAGAAGAAGGAACGCATACTTTCCAGTTACCGAACGGTGCCAATCTCAGGGTAGGCGTATTGAAATACTTCAACTCTCTTGGAGACTTACAACTTTCAGGTCTACGCATCCCCTTACCAACCAGAGTTCTGCGACTTTGCCTTTCCATACTCCCGCAATGAAGACCGCTACAACCCCTCCCATCAGTGTACACCGAACGCCAAACCCATCGCCGAGAACCCTGTCCCAGACTTCCCCAGCATCGATGTTATGATGACCCACGGACCGCCTATGGGCGTCATGGACGCGACAACAACGGGAGAGCACGTCGGCTGCGAACACCTCCTACGAGCAGCTCGACGCTGTAAACCCAGACTCTACTGCTTTGGACATATACATGAGGGCTGGGGTGCGCAGAAAGTACGTTGGAACAACAACGATCAGCTGGATGTTAAGATTGAAGAGCATATCGAATTCGCCGATGCTGTACCTCTTGACTGGGAGGCAATCATGGATGAGAGGGCTGCGAGTATTGACGTTGGTCAAGGTAGCGACGACGCGGTTGAGTTTGGACGGGACACGCTGATGGTCAACGCCAGTATCATGAGCGTAACATACAAGCCATTTAACGCGCCATGGCTTGTGGACCTGGATCTTGAGCAGGCGTAATCAGCTTCTCCGTGCGAGATGTGAGTGTATGGATCTAGGATTTTTTACTCGTCAGAGACAACAAGTAGGCATTGATGAGATGACCTAGTTGGCCGACTCTTGATACGGTCGTCGCCGTTATCAGAGGATAACTGGTACATGGCAGCGAATTCATGTCCTTAGATGCATCATGCTACAACAAGATTTCCTGTTTCCTCTCATCGCTACCTGCGTCGAGAAACGGGTATCTAATCAGAATATATTCCACAGACCGGCACAACTGAGCACATACGACCACAGGACACTGAAAATTAGGCTTCCCGTCCGCTCAGCCATATACAAGCAGTGTACCGGCGGATTAGTAGTTAGGTGGGTGACCACTAGCGAATCCCCGCTGTTGTATGTTTTTGGTCACCATTTTTTTTGCTTTGGTTCTCCTTTTTCGCATACCTAGCAGCCGCCGTCCTTGACAATAGCTTTCAATACCTCAATCTCGATATTCCTATCTCTTCCGTCTGTTATGGTGAAAGTAATGTCTTGCTCGAGAAGCTGGCACGGAATGGACAGGCGTGCCAGTGTGTTATAGTGGTACAAGTATGAGAATTCTGCTGCTACTCATGCATATTGCCCGTTCGGCATAGCCCCCATGAGTACCTAGCAGCACTCCATTATACTTCAATTTAGTATCCTATAAATATACTAAGAAAAGAGATATACTCTCCAATCAACCACTAATATCCATCGTTGTACATGAAAAAACGCATTTCTAATATGCTATGCTGTCTTCTAATCCATAAGTATGTTAAAGGAAGTCGTAGCGGATACCTTCTGAGCACGATTTGATGGTGCGCAATTGGAAAGACGAGCTTTCTCGCACATGTAATGCATTAGATGATAGATTTTCACATAGTGGACGCGATGATCAAAACGTGACAGCGCGCGTGCGGGTCGATCTCCCGTACCAGTGATGCAATCATGACCACCACCGTTCGAGGCCCGTATCAACGCGTCGAAAACGGCGTTCTGTGTACCATTCCCCTCAATTTAGAGATTACTCTTATTTGATTCGATCCGCAGGATTTCCATTGACTCAAAATTTGGACACACAGTTAACGCCATGTCCCTAAGGATCCCACACGTCACATTGACGCGCTTTGCCCGTGACGTCAGACCGTTTGCCCGCTATATCACAACTTCTGCACCACGACCTTTCCCCTCTTCACTCTCTACACTCCCAAATCGCATGCAATCAATTGAACGCACGAAACAAATTACCAACCAACTTCAATCAGCTAATCAACAACGCAACTACGCAAACAACATGGCTCCTACCAACAACCCCGAGCTCACGATGGACAAGGTCTTTCCTGTCAAGGACAAGGTCGCCTTGGTCACCGGTGGTGGCTCAGGAATCGGTCTCATGATTACCCAGACTCTTGCTGTCAACGGTGCTAAGGTGTACATCGTTGGAAGGACAGAAGAGAAGCTCGAAAAGGTTGTCGAGGTGCATGGTCAGAACATTGCAGGTCAGGTGAGTTTTCGGCAAACTTTATACATGTGAGATATGTACTAACGGGTTGCAAATAGATTATCCCCATTGTGGGAGACGTCAGCACGAAGGAGGGCGTATCGAAGATTAAGAAAGAGATCGAGTCAAAGGAGAAGTGCGTGTGCATTCTTGTCAACAACGCTGGTATCGCACCAGGCAAGACCGAGGTGAAGGGAAGCTCTGAAGAGCTAGTCGACAAACTTTTCGATGGCACAACTGAGCAAGAGTGGTTGGACGTGTACCAAACCAACGTTGTCGGCCCCTTCCTCATGTCCACCGCCTTCCTCCCTCTTCTCGAAAAGTCCACCGAGTCGCACCCCGGTTACTCAGGCACCATCATCAACATCTCATCCATCTCGGGCCACATCCGCATCTCACAAGGTCACTTTGCCTACAACTCTAGCAAAGGTGCTGCGATACATTTGAACAAGATGCTCGCGTCTGAGATTGCCAAGAACGGTATCAAGGTGCGGGTGAACTCTATTGCGCCTGGTGTTTTCCCTTCAGAGATGACGACCCAGGAGAGCAGAGATGACAACCAGAAGAGTGAGATGCCTAAGGATCACAAGGAAGGTCTGCCTGCGCAGCGACCTGGAAAGGACCAGGATATGGCTGCAGCTATCCTGTTCGCTGTTGGCTGCCAGTACCTTAACGGTCAAACTGTCACTGTCGATGGTGGCTACGCGATCCAGGTTGGCAACTAAGTATATTGTAATTCCTTTTCTACAGTTTCTTCTACCTCGCTCGGATATGAGCTTTACGATGTATGATAAATGGTATGCCGATGCCACACAAGGCAGGCACAGGCTTGCTCAGCCGTAATTCGGACACTGCTATAACTGTTCGAGAATGAAAGAATGAACAAAACGTCCTGATGGTCTAAACATGTTTCCCTGGCAATTGTGTTTGGTGATTGCTAGTGACTAGCTTATGGAGAAGCTCATCTAGTTCTATAGCTGAGGTGTAACCTCGAATTAGTCTCAATTCTGCCAAAGTCAAATGGCAGGCAATCCTACCATATTGTATCGTTCGGTTAGACTAAGCCTCATTGTATTCTGTCATCTCAACTGATCACTAGTGACGATCGAAAGGATCTGGGTATGTAACGTGTTTTGCTAGATACGAGGAATATACATAAGAGGAATAGTATACATGTAAGGGAAATTCCTGGTCTGCCACCCCCTGAGTCTCACCGTATTAAATCTGAAATATACAATGCGCCAATAAAACCGAAAGGTCCCACATCTCCTTCACTCAGACGCTGATTCTTCCTCATCTGACACCTCCACTTCCGCATCACTCACAACATCACTCAACACCTCGCTCTCCGCGTCGCTCAAACCACTACTCACCGCATCACTTTCAATATCCTCCACAACCTTCTTCCTACCCTTAGCCTTCTTTGCGCTACCGCCCTTGACAGGACTATCTCCAGCTCCCTTCCTCCCCCCAGTCCTCTGAACCAGATGATCAATTGGACATCCCTCATCCCATCCCTCGCTGCTTTCACCTGTTATAGCACGACACCTAGGACAGCTCTTCCCGTGCTTAATAAGCAGTTGATGAAGCGGGTACTTGAGGTGATCCGGAACCCTAACTTCGCAATGTGCATACGTGGAGTTGCGTGTTGGGCCAGCGAAGGTGCCTTTTTTGCCGGGCGGAAGGCCTCTGTCATCGCCTGGGGGCGGTACCCAGCCTAGCCATGAACACAGGCGGAAGACGTGGGTGTCGACTGCGAAGGAGGGTCGTTGGAGGCAAAAGAGAAGCACGCAGGACGCGGTTTTTGGACCAATACCAGGGTATTTGGTCAGCGCGTTGAAAGCGTCGTCGTTGGAAAGTTGGTGAAGATGGTCTAGCGAGACAATGTTCTGGTCCGCCTTCTCAACCTCGTCACGCTTTTCTGCTTCCGCTTCGTTGGTTTCACCCGGTGCCTTGTCTGATGAAGCCAGGAGCTCGTCACGTCGTGCTTGGTTCTCTTCCCAGACCATTTGTAGAATCTTCTTGATGTCCTTGCTTTTTACATCTGCGAGACCACCGCTCTTAATTGCTTCGAAGATTTCCTTTTGGTCTGCTTGTCGCACTTTGTTCCAGTCTACGCTTCCTTTACCAATGCCTTCTTTCAGGACGCCGAACTTGGCGACAAGGCCGGCGAATGCGCGGGACGAGTTCGTGCCGGATGTTGCGGCCGAAAGCCGTGTTCGGATGAGGGCATCAAGGACTGATGGTACTTCTCCACAACCTGAAACCTCGAGAGATGGCGCGGGAATGGTCTTGGGTGCTTCGACCTTACCGTGAACTTTGGAGAGTAAACGGGTCACCTCTTCGCATTCTTCGGCCGTAGGGTGGGGGTAGTTCGGGTATGGCGTATGACCAGGAGTAAGGCCATAACCACCTGTCTTGGCTTTACTCTTCTTGGATGACGCGTCCGTGGTGGTGGTCGCTTTGGCAACGAGGTCGTCGACTTCCTCCTTCTTTGGCTTGGTGGCTTTTGCAGACTTCTTAGGCGTTGCGGACTTCCTCGGCTTCTTTGCTGAAGCTTTACTCTCGGCTTCCTCGTCTTTAACGGGAAGATCCGGAATAGCACCGAGGTTGTGTGGGAGTTCGTTGATGTCTTCTTGTTTTACTGCTGACTTCTTGGCACGTTTTGTGCTCTTAGGTGTAACGGGAGCTTTCTTGGTTGTCGCATCTGGCGACTCTTCGATCTTGACTGCTTTCCTCTTTCGCGTGTTACTTGTTTCGGGGGTAGTTGGGGGACTGGACAGTTGTACTGGCTCAGGCACGGCGTCGGCCCTGGCAGAGCTCCTTGTAGCTCGTGCCATGCTTGGTACAGTGGATATGCCGAGTCGATTCGATTCGATCGTCAAGAGGCTTGGGCGCAGTGCCAGCAGTCGCCTATGGGCAAGTCTGAATGCAATGGTGAGGGGTTGACGCCAGACAAACAAATTGGAGACGAGTGATAGAAGGAGGTCTTCTGAAGTGTCCTGTGAGCGGCAAACGTCAAGCTACAGGTTAAAGGAAATGGAAAAGGGGAGACTGATGGTGAGGGTGAATGGCAGGTATCATGACGTCGATGATGATGATTGGAGCTTTGACCCTCGTCCCTGCCTTAGCGCGTATCTAAAGCACGCGCCGAGGTCCCACTCTGGCGCGAGTCCGTCACCTCTGAGCAGAGCTACGCACCTCTATCGATACCACCGACATACGACTCCAGACGACTTCATCATGTCCCACAAGGCACCTTTGGTCGTTCCCGCGCTCAAGCGACACACAGCCACTGTCATCGTGGCGCATGGGTTGGGCGACAGTGGGGCTGGCTGGTAGGCTCCGGAGCACTCAACACCATGGAGGTCTAGACACTGAAGGACATAGGATATTCCTCGCGGAGAACTGGCGCAGACGAAGCAAGTTCGAGGAGGTCTCGTTCATCTTCCCCAATGCTCCGAGCATCCCAATCACGCTGGTTCGTCAACCACCCACCACCGCCAACACACGGCATGGGCGCTGATATGCGACTCTACAGAACATGGGCATGCGCATGCCAGGATGGTACGACATCAAGTCACTGAGCACTCTCGATGACCGAGAGGAAGACGAAAAGGGCATCGTCGACTCCCAGAAGTACTTCCACTCCCTCATCGACCAAGAGGTCGCAAAGGGCATACCCGCCAACCGCATCGTCGTCGGCGGCTTTTCCCAAGGCGGCGCCATGTCACTGCTGTCCGGTGTGACTTACAAAGACCAGCTCGGAGGCATCTTCGGCCTGAGCTGCTACCTCCTGCTGCAGAAGAAGATCAAAGACATGATTCCGACCGAGAACCCCAACCAGAAGACGCCCATTTTCATGGGCCACGGCGACGCCGATCAAGTCGTTGCGCACAAGTGGGGAAAGCTGAGTGCTGACGAGCTCGAAAAGCACGGGTTCAAGGTCGACTTCAGGACTTACAAGTACGTCATGTGTGTAGCAAGAGAGACATGCCCCTGACAGAGTATAGGAACCTGGTGCACTCCGCCGATCCTGATGAGATCGATCACCTCGAGTCCTACCTCAACCAACAAATCCCCGCCCTCGGCGACAAGTCGGAACTCTGACTGTCGAGTTCCTCCACACTCGTATCGACCGAAGCCACGACAGCCCTGGTGCTCATCATCACATTGGCCATTGCTTGGTTTGCATGGTACAAGCGTGATGCTGTACTCAAGCCGCACGACGATACAGAGTGGCGCAATCTCGAATAAAAACAGGAGGCGCATACTACAATGACTTGGACAAGATGTATGCATCACTTGGAATACGGTCGCAGTAGCCTTGCCTCGTATGTGCTTCTTTCAACTTCTTAGTGAGCCAAATTCAAGTTGTGTACCTGCATCTGTCGGCTCGCTATCCCCACCCAACTAGAGTCTGTATTATCTAGATACAACTAAGAATCTCTGCCCCACCCTCATTTTTCTAGTTCAGTCACATCTTGTCTGTCCGCTAGTTTGATGTTCGTTGGTGAGGTTTGCAAAATTTCTTCCTCTGCCCCACTCACCACCACGTCAAGTATCGCAACGACTACCTTTATATTGCTACCATTCCTTCAGTGTTCCATCAAAGTCCGATATGGTCTAGTGGCTAGGATTTGCCGCTCTCATCTCGCAGAGTCAGTTCACTGTACAGTGCCGGCAAGGCCCGGGTTCGGTAAGTTCACTCAACTCAATTCGAGTTCGACTCATCATCCTAACAATTCAACAGATTCCCGGTGTCGGAAACAACCATCATTTTTTGATGTTGGTAAGGAATGGGAGGTGGTTGAGGCATGGCAGCGCAGGCCAAGAGAGATATGCTTGGTAGATTTTTGGTTGAGTCTCGGCGGCAGAAGTACCCGAGAATCTCAAAAGCAGAAAGACTGTGTATACTCGCGGCGACATCTTTTTAATTCGCGGTGTGTGTTGCCGCAAGTCTTGATATCATTTGCATGCTGTGCATCGAAAGCTTTGTTGGTACAGAGACTCACCTTCAGCGTGTATATATGCGCCAATTGGTGCTTACTGTCATCGTGCATCAAACGCAGTCCTAAAATGTCGGCTACATTGATTACGTCCTCTGTTATTACAACGACTTTGGTCGTGACAGTGCGTACCGTAATGCTCCTGCCACGGATATCGCGCATCCGATGCACCTGCCTCGAACTTCATCATCAGAAGAGGACCAAGCACTGCATGACCTGACCGAGTTTGCGGTGACTGCTTTTTCTCTACACCGAGTTCCCCCGCTCAGTACCTCCCACGTGCCTCGTCCATGCAGCGCATCCTCTATCAATGCCTATATTTGGTGCTCGCTACACTCGGCCAGCGTTAATCAGGCCTCCAACAACGTCACACACTACCAACGCCTTTGCACGGGCAGCGAGCTTGCCAGCAATCATACAGACTACCAGGCTTCCAGCGGGGTCTCGCCTGTCTGCTAAGCTCACGCCTCAAAGCTTTGTACCACGGCAAAAGAGAAGAGTCAGGGGTCGCATCGTGTCCGTCCACCAGCTAGTCAGCTTTTAGCGAGTGCTTAATTTCTTAGGGCTGACCCCCCTCCTGGGTTCCCAACCTTTCGCGAATCCATACCCACATTCTGGCTCCTCACAAAAGGTAACTCTCAAGCGCTCAACGGTTATGCAATGTCGTTTCCTATGACGCTGTAGTTCCCGACGATCTAGTAGATCACAAAATATGCGATCAACAAGCACTGCAGCGGAATCTCCACAATCACGACGCAAAGTCAGCCCTCGACCTCGTGAGATAATGCCGACCTTCCGGATCAGTCTGGCCGAAACATGTCATTGGTAAATTTCCGAGCGCTCACCCTTTGGGAAAGCATCTCATCCGTGCGTTCAGGCACGAGCGCCGTATTTGACATGCGCTTCAGCGCTGGCGCACATGTAGCGCCGGCCTAACGCTGGCCTTCAGCGTCAGTCCATGTGGAGTATGTACGAGCGCCGTAAGGCGACGAGCTTTATTGGATGCGTGCGCCATGGGTCAATACGAGAGGGGGGCTATTATTAAAGAGCTGAGCTGCTGCCCGTGAAACTATTCTTCATCGCAAGGTCTTGTTTCTCAACTTACATCACTTTCGTCGTCGTCTCTCTCGTTTCGACAGTCACTCGCTTCGACCAATTACTCGAATAGCTTAATCATAGTCATAATGCGCTTCTCCGCTTTCGCCCTCTTGTCCCTTGTGTCGGTTGCCTTTGCTGGTAACTGCGGACCCCAGAATGGAAACGCCAAGTGCGCTGCCAACGAGTGCTGTAAGTTGTATCCAGACGACATATTTTCGAAACCCTACTAACATGCATTACAGGCTCCCAGTATGGCTGGTGCGGAACCACCGTCGACCACTGCGACGCAAAGACCTGCCTTCACCCCTTCTCTGGCGCCTCTTCATCATGCAAGCCCACCCAGACAACAATGAAGACCAGCGCAACTAAGCAAGCTACCTCGCCCGCCACCACCTTCCCTACCGCGGTCCCCGAGATCGACGTCTGTGGACACGCCCAAGGCGGTGTAACCTGCCCTGGCGCCGGTGCCAACGGCTACTTCTACCGCTGCTGCTCCTCCGCCGGCCACTGCGGCCCCAAGAACGACATCCAGGACCAGGCTCTCTACTGCGGTGACGGCTGCCAAGCCGGTTACGGAAAGTGCGACAACCAGAAGGCGCCTGCTGAGCCTACCGCCCCCAAGGGTACCTCCGGTGCTGGAGAGACTTGCGGTCCTATTGTCAACAAGAAGTGCGCTGCTGGTCTTTGCTGCTCTGGATCCAACTTCTGTGGCACTGGTGAGGACTTCTGTGGAAAGGCCAACTGGTGCCAGAGCAAGTGGGGAAAGTGCAACTAAGACGTTGTACTGAAAGAAGATTTCAAGATGCAAGGGACATATATATTAGAGTAACGAAAACACTAATTTTTGGGGAGGAATGTAAATACTTGAGAACTATAGATCATATGCACCTGCGTTACTTGATTGAAATCTTTTTCCTTCAGCACTGCCTCATTCGATGCCATTCGACGGGTAGACTTCTCCTTCACTAAACCATTCACAGGACAAACACAAGCATGTGCAACAATACATGCCATTACATCACATACGCACGTAGTTGCCACGCTCAAAACAAAACCTCTCCTCCAGAATACCTACTCATGGCAAAGGCAGTCCATTTCGAACCCCATACCCCAGCCCCAGACTCTGAATACCTCTTCCACGGCAGCGGCACCGTCTTGAAACCTTGCCACATAACTCGCTACATCTACCCCTCCCTCTGCGACTACCCGCCAGGCTGTCTGCGTCTCCAACTGCCATCCAACTCCTCTTCGCGCTCCCGGCCCCAAGGTTCCGGGTCCTGGGGCACCGACGACCACACTTTTCTTAGCATAACGAACACGCAGAAGCTACTAGCTCCGCATTCAGCTTCCTTTGCAGAATGGTCAACGCGGGAGTTGGAACGGAATAGGAAGAGTAAGAATGCATTGGCGAGGAGCATGGCGAGGAGCATGGCGAGGATGAGCTTGTATGTGGGTAATACGGTGTTGGAGGCGGGCAAGTTTCAACTAAGGAGAGGCGAGGGTATGTGTTTTGTTGTTGTGAGGAGGAGTGTTGTTGTGCTTGAGGGGGGAGGAGGAGGATATGGGGACAAGAAGGGTTTTGGGAGGGAAGAGGAGAGGTATGTTATCCCGTGTACGGAGTGGAGAGGGATGATGCCACCGATGGTTGAAGGGAAGGAGTACGATTGTTGGTGGGTACGTTTACATGTAAGTGTTGTACTTTGCACTCGTGCGTCTTGATAGAAAGAAGACGAAGAAGAAGAAGAGGTGGGTAGAGAGGGTAAGGATGAACAACCACGTACAAAAGCTGATCAAGCGCTATGTAGAACCTCTTTCATGCAAGCTACGATCGAGCGTTTTTTCATGCTCGGGACCAGATGGATAATGTCCTTCAGATGGCGCCGCCGCTAATCAACTGGTACCCCAGACCCGACATCGAAGCACTCGTCACCGTACACCGCGATATTCCACCACCACCCGCACAGGCAAAATACCTAGGCGACGCATGCCCAGCCTGTAGCCGCACCTGGTTCACCGAGAGCGAATATGCGTGCCGCCTCCATTGCGGCCACTTCCTCTGTCTCGAATGCCTAACCCAGCACGTCGATTCAAGTGCCGGTCGGGGCAAATTGCTTCCGGGCGAAACCGACCCGCTGACTAAATTCTTCCGCTGCATAGAATGTAAAAGCATAACAGCTCTCCTCGTCGACCGCACCGCCGTGACACGCCCCGACGAACTGCCCTGGTGGCGTTGGAAGATCTGCATGCGGCGTCTAGAAAAAGAAGCTTCAGAGTTTTGGCTTGTGAGACTCCAGACACTACCGCATAGTGGGTGGTTCCGCGATATACCACAAGACTGGGATACTGATCGGCAGGTCAAGGAGATTAGAGTCCATGTCCGCTATGATGATGCGGTAGCGTTTATGCACGTGCCGAAGAAAGTTTGGGCAATGTTGCCGTATGGATTTAGTTTGGACAATCCTGTGGAGAGTTGCGAAGCGTTGGCGTTGGAGAAGTGTTTGAAAGGCGAGTTGAAGCGCCTTTCTGTTGAGCGCAAGTTGTTCAACACCAAGGAGATTCTGGATCATATGGCGAATGTGGGAAGGGGTGCGTTGAAGCCTGTTGTTGTGGAGGATGTGAGTGCGAGATTGGGTAATCCGGTAACGCCGCCGGGGTATGAGGCGTATCGCGATTTCTTGTGTGAGTGGACTGCGAGAGGGGTGCTCATGTGTCCAATGGGACGGATGCCGATTCTGGAGTTTTTGAGAGATATGGACAAGGAAGGGAACAAGAAGAAGGCTTGGTGGAAGGACGTGCGGGATGTCTTCTTTGATCCGTAGACTGTAGGAATCAGAATTAAGGTTCACCCTTAACGGTATACGTAGATTTTCCTGTTGTAACTTTGACAGAGAGACAATAGTGTAAACATTCAGGGTAGGTGTTAACAATTGAAGTATGACTTGGCAGAAACAAGCTCCTTTATACGAATGACACATTGCTGGATGAATCTCTATATATGCAAACACAGCACAAGTACTCGCTAGACCTATGTATCAGACATCAAATAACGTCAGACACCCCATTTCCTCCCAACCCCCCAGTCAAACTCTTCATTCTCCTGCCCAACAAGTCATCCTCGCTCGCCAGACTAACCAAGCTCTTGCGTCTCCCTCTATAATTCTTCGTCCTCCCCCTTGTACTTCCCCGCACACCAGACCCGTTCTGCTGTGGCGGACTCTTCTTTCCCTTATTTAAAACCGTCATCTCCAACGGCCTGTCTTCCTCTGCCGAAGACGCGGTGTTGGTACGCTGATGATGTCTCTTCCGTTGATGTTGCGGAGAAGTCAAGCCATCAATAGCATCTTGTAAACCCACCGTACCGAAATAATCGCTTCCTTTTTCTCGTGGTCTCCTCGGCGTAGCAGTAACAGCAGGTGTGTACATGGGCGTCTCATCACCCCTCCTCCCATCAGTCGCATCTTCAAACGCCTCAGCAATCCATTTGCCACACCTGAAGATGTACTTCCACCCTTCTGGGAAAACCCCTACAAACTGCAAAAATCCATGACTGATTCCCGGCACCAAGTCAACATTGACCCATTCCCCTTCTCTAAACTCACCTCTCGCCCAGTCTAGTCCCAACTCCTTCGCCGCAACCCACTCCGCACGCTTCGCTTGCCGTAGCCTGCCTGCGAAGATAACCGTATCATCTACGAGCGGATCGCGCTCACCCGTCAACATCCATGTGCGTGGAAACCTTGCTAGTAGGGACTCCGGGGCGAGTAAAGGAGAGAGGAGGTAGTCGGTTGAGAAATCTGGGCGGTGGTGCGGGCCAATGTAGAGGATTATCATTGCGCGCATCATTTCGGGGGTGAGGATGCGGTCGTTGAAGTAGGATATCATGGAAGACATTGCGAGGCGAGTTTTAATGGCTGTGGCTGGGGGTGCTGGGACTGTTGGACCAGGTGTAGAGGGCTGTGTCGCGGCCGGTGTGGGCGGTAAACTTGAATTGGCAGGAGTTGTTTGGCCGGGAGTTTGGTTGAGGGTGCTGGTGTTAGTGTCGAGGCGGGGGAGAGAGGTGCTGTCTTGGTTGGTGTGTGCGGCGGAGAGGTTGATCATTGTCTGGGGAGACGTCCTGAGACCATTGGTCTTTGGCATAGATGCATTGGTCGTGCTGACTCTGTTGCGCTCATCTTCGTCGTCACCATCCGAATCATCAGAGCCATATGGTGTGTTGGGCGCAAGTTGTCTGTAATCATCGCTCTTATGTCGTAAGATGGGTCGGTTCGTCTTCCTCACTCGTCGGTCGCGGATAAGCGCCATTTGCTCGTCCGTCATCCAGTTGCCAATGTTCATGTCCAGCGCAGGGTAGATCAAGACTACGCCGATTGGAGGCGGGATCGCATATTCACCCTGCCACCTTCGCGTCTCAGTCGAGCCACTTTGCAGGATCATGAGCACCATAGCAGTAACCAAGTTACCCCCAGCCGAATCGCCCGAGACAACGATCTTGGGCTCTACTTCTCCCGATAGACCCATGCACGTTCCTCTCGATGCGATGATCATGTGGTAGACGTCGTAACATTCGTTGAGCGCATACGGATACGGGTGCTCAGGAGCCTTCTTGTAATCCAGACTAAGAACAGGCAGGCCCGTCTTGCCAGCCCAGCCCATGAGCTTATCATCATGATTCCTCGGGTTCATGGCCACGAAACCACCTCCAGGTATGTCCAAGACGACCTTGTCCTGCTTCTTCAATGCGCTCCGCGGCCCATTGAAGTACAGCCAGCCGGTCACGGGTTCCTTGTACGAACTAGCCTTGGGTCGCGGTATGCGAATCTGGCGCGGCGGATAGACCATCAGCCTGGGTCGCATCATGCTCGTCAGCGCACCCAGATACGGCGTGGTGCCTTTATTCCAAGCGACGCGCAAATGATCGACGGTAAGCGTCGCTCTAATCTTGCGGACTTTCTCGTCGGCTTGCTCGGCACATATCAGGTAGTATATGCTGAAGACGACAGACAACAGATCCCTGACGCCCTTGCGCTTAATCCGCATAGCAGACCAGAAGCCTGCGTCCAGCGCAGTCGTAACCCATGTAGCGCGGAAGTAGGAGCGCGAGTAGAGGCTCGCGAGGGGCTCTGGGCACTCGAGGCCTACGAGCTTGCCGAAGTTACGGGCAACGTAGAGGTAGAGGAGAGTTATGAGGACGGATTGCCAGACGGTGAGTTTCTTGGAGAGGAGGGCGGATATGCGGCGGAGGATTGGTGGGCCATGGCGGTCGCATCTACGGGATTGTTAGTGTGTGTGTGTGTGAGAGAGAGTGTGTGTAGAACTTGCCTGTAGAGGTAAAAGGACCAAAAGGATACCACTGCCAACACCTGTATCTTCCTGAACTGCACCGATGGCCGTCCCAATACATGGTCTATCATGGCCGTAGCTCTTTCCTAGCATAAAGCGCTGTGTTGGACCAAGTAGATGCAGTCGCAGGCCTATTGTGCGTCATGAAAGGCGTCAAGTCGGGTCTACACGTACGTCGCAAGCCTGTCGGCGTAAGCATGTGAATGCCAGCTGAGGTCAAGTCGTAACGCAAACCCGGGGTGGATCTCGTCTGGGGTATGGGGAAAGCCATGGAACAGCGGCGCAATGCGCATTATGGTCATCAACCCCCAGTTTGTCCACGACTACAGCAATAGCCGTTCAAGCCGTCGACAAGCGCGGCGAATTAGCTGTATTGAGGCTCTGTGGTTGGGTGAGGGTCCGGCATGTGACAGGTTGCGGAGGACGTGTGCGTGCCATGTGAAAGCCGCGCTATGACATCTTCTCGGCTTTGTTGCGTTCTTTCCGAGGAGCTAACCAGGCCAACGTCAGCCGCCCTCGCCGCAGCCAGGTCACGTCTTCTTTGTTTAGCACCACCCAAAGTAGCAGTTTGTATGTGACACAAGTATTCATCTCCAAGTTCATCTCTTCATGAACCTTTATATTCTACCATGTCAACACCTCGACAAGCCATGACCTCGACAGTCAAAGCTTTGTACAAAGACCTTGATAGCATCATGCCCCCAAAAGAAGAGAATAGACAGAAAAATGGAGAAGAAGAAGAAAAAACCCACTCCATCGCCTGAAACCACGTGAGCCATTCGAGCCACGTCAACGACATCCATCAACCCTTAATCCACTCCCCAACCTCGAACCCCACCCTCCTCAGATCCGCCTCCGCAAACTTCGCCCCAGCCTCCCTACTCTTCCACACAGTTAAACACCGAACCCCATCATCCATCTCAGGTTTAGCTCCCACCTGCCCCTCCTTCGGATCGTACCCTCTCACATAAAGCGTTAAATCCGGTCCTACCGTTCCCCGCCAAAGCGTCGCCATCCACTGCCAGTGGTCTGTCGGGCTGTAAGCGTCTTGAATGGGAATGCGGGATGCGTATGCGACCGAGGCTTGGAGTTGAAAGGTAGGGAGGATGATGACGGGTTTTATGCTTGTTGACATTAGGGGAGAGTCGGGTGGTGTGGTCGAGTCCTTCCGGGATGGAGTAGATGATGTGACAGCAACGGTGGATGGGTTTGAGGACGCGATGGTGTCCTTTGGGGAAGAGAGTGTGGATGAAATGGGCGTAATGATGTACTTGATCATCTCCTTGCTCTTGCCATGCCACTCCTTAATTAGGTTGAGATAGTTCTCAAACGTGACTTCTTTGTTATCGTCATTGGGAGCTTGAGGTGGCTCGGCTATCTGCGGTTTGTACTCTTTCTGCTTAATGAGGTACTCGTTCAACCATTCTGAGAGTTCCTTGACTGCAGCTATCTCGTCACCTTCGACGGCGATGATGGCGCCGCGATTGGTCCGGCACGATGGGCTTGCGGAGCCCGGTTCTTTGTACGGAGGCGTTATGCGTCCAAGCAGTTTAATCTTGTTGGAATATGGGAATGCACTGAGCACTTCTTCTACGCTTCTTGGGCTACCTTCATGTTGTAGAGGACCCAACTCAACCATTGAATTCCGTTGCAACTCACGAGGAGTTCGTGGAGGAGGCATGGTCGCACTGTGAGGCGGCACATGAATAGGCGGTAAAGACTCACGTCGGTGAGCATACTGAGTTGGGGCATAGTACGGTCCTTCCGCTCTGCGACCGTTACTCGTTGGCGGAGGCGGTCCATAGTCGAAACGACGCTTCTTGTTCGGTGTTAAAGGGCTGTACATTATCGAGTCCGTATGCATCGCTGAAGTTACTTGAAGGTTGCTGGGGCGGCGCATAACTGGTGATTGTATGCTGAGGTTACCCACCACAGGTAAATAGCGGGTTGTTGGTGTGAGACCTTCCGATATATTGGGAGGCGGCAGAGTTGGTGTGCCAGAGGCATCGAGAAAAGGACTGGCGGGTGTTCTGAGACTGCGACCACCACATTTGTGGCAGCGATACTTGTCGACTGTAGTATGCTGACCAGTAGGGTTCAACGGAGATGATCCCGGCTTGCCAACACGACGCGGTTGGTAGCGGTAGTCAGGGTACTGCTCCTGATGCCTAGCTTTCTCTTCCTTGAGTCTCATGTTAATAAAATGAACACAAAGAGATGTGCAGATGACCACTAACCTGCGCAAGATCTTGCCAAACCTTCTTCTGCTCTTCACCTTCAGCTTTCCATTGTTCACCGATGATCTTGGAAATGTCGGGATTGTTGAGATCAGGATTGCGAGCGGTAATGGCCTGCTGGTGATGCTGTCGATAGAGGATGAATGCTATGAAAGTAGTTAGTGGGCTGAGCAACAATGACTACAGACAAAGACTCGTGTTTCGGTTTTGATCCACAACCCAAGTCGTATACCCCGATTAAGGAGGATATGTCCTTGGAAGACAAAGGAATGCCATGGACTCACCATTTCGTGGCCGTGGTATTTTTGGCTCCGGTTGGCAAAGACATACGTGACCCGAAAAGTCTGGAGACCCTACTGCAGTTGCAGAAGTAGCGCTTGGAGGAGGCATATCGTCGATCGGACTGTTGCAGTCTTCTTTCTCATGAACCTCAATAAGTGAGGCGATTCTTTTTCTCGTAGTCCGAGGCGAAGACGAAGCAGGGGATATCGGCTGCTCTTCTTTGTTGCTTCCCTCAGCAGTAGGGTTAGAAGTAGGAGCAGACCGCGTCTCATGAATTCGACTGCTCTTACGCAGACTTCTCAAAGGCTTTGCATCGTCCATTGGAGACACTGGAGAACCGTCACTGACCTGCATATTTGACTTGACGTACCGCCGAGGCACGTGGAAGAAGATAGCGACAGGAGGCTGGGAAGAGAGTGGTGAAGTCCGAACAATCGGTGGCAACACTCGACTTGCTAGCATTTTTGAGATTCAGCGACGAAGCAGTTGATCTAATGAGTTTTGTCGGAAGAAGGCGTGGTTCATTGTCCCTGGCCGAACAGGAAGGGAGGAGCCGCGTTGGACGAGCCATACAACATTCTGTGCTTCTCTTTGAATGCATTATCCGGTGTGTGGAGTTGGAATCGATGTGCTTTGACGAATCAGCTGTTGCGATCCAGTAAAATGATTGTTCCAGTCAGATGTAACCGATCTTCTTAGGGACTTTCTTTGTTCTCATCCCGCCAAGACACGCTCTACCGACCCGCGAGACATGACAGCATTCCTGTACCCGCTACGCAAGGGGCTCCAACAATGCAACACGTCTTTCACGATGACAGAAGTGACTCAGTCTCGGGATCTACACAGTTATACTGCGCATTGCATCCATACGCCGTCCTTCGAAGCGAGGCGCAATCTATGCCACATTGCTGAGAACCATGAAGCCCAACGAAGCCTTGGCCAAGTTCTAGACAGTGTCTCTATCGCGGCGTACTAGAAACCTGGAGGGAATTTTAGGTTGAAGTTCTGTCCCTCTTGTTCCTTAGGTTTTTCGTTGTTGTCGGAGCTTTGCATCTCACGCTCATTGACAGTTTGGTTTCCCCGTACGAGGCTAGCGGCTTGCTTTCCGATTAGCTCATGGGCAGGACCGCTGAGTTGGACGTTATCCCTATTACCTAGTCAGGTTGAGACAATGCGTTTGTGTAGCCGTTAACTTACCAGAATAAGTGTGCGGCTGGAACGGAGCACTTCTGCACGTCGGATGTTTGTAGATCCGTTGCACCACTTCGTTGCGGCACGAGACATGGTTGTTCAATCTGTTCGAAAAGAGGGGCTTGTTTACCGACACCAGCTGCATCTGAGATCTGTTTCGAGTATAGCTGTTTGGCGCGAACTTCCTCCATGATCAAATCATGCGGCCCAGGCATGTAGATAGCACCTTTGTTCCACTGGGATGCAGTCCGAACCAAAACAGTATCCCAATATGCCCACAAAAACACCATTCGGTGCTGAGTCACCGCAAAGTCGGCTTCCCGCATCGCTTTCTTCTGCAGCTGGAACTGAGGTAGGAAGCTAGCGTCGATCATCTTCGGCATGACGACTTTCGGCGGATTTGCAGTATGTTCGGCGAGTACATCAAGATTCAGAAACAGCGATGCAATGCTCTTGTCCACAGCAGACATGGCGGCAGCCTTTTCCAGTGTAGAGTACTCCAAAAGATCCCACAAGCCGAAGAAAACGGTGAAGAAAGTCCACTCGTCCCCTTTTCGCAGACTTTGCGGGATAACTCGACGTCCTTTGTCGTAGGTGATGTACTGTTCCACCTGTGTCTTGAAGTCGAACGGAGTTACGGTGGTCTCGTTGCTCCCGGCGCCTTTCGCTTCCGAGTGAACATCTGCGTCAACCAACGATCCGATATGTGCAGCGGCAGCCGGCTTGGAGTGCGCGAAGTTGTCAATGGTATCACACGCGAGCTGAAGTCTGTCAGGTCATGTCTTCACGTTGTTTGTGACTCCCACTAACCTCTTTGCATAAAGTCTCTACCCATAAATCGCCTCGGTCAGCATCGCGGGCAACGACCGCAGACAATACAGGCGACGAGACGCGGTAGCTTCCAGTGTCGGACCAATCATTACCAAATACTACAATGCGATGCGCGCTACCGCGCCAGACGGTGTGGACGGTGTCTTCGAAGTCGGCAGAGTGAACCCAGGTGAAGTACAAGATCATAAGAATAGCTAGAGCCGCACATACATGCAGCCTTGAGAAGAACCTCATCGCGCTACAGCACTAGCTAGTTGACGGTTTAAAAAGCGTGTAAGAGTGAAGTGTTAGCAACGCGATCAGCTCGAGCAAATGAAAGCAAATGGCGGGCAGCCTTTGTGAAAGTATAGGCTCGTAACTGCGGGAACTCCCAGCGTCAACATGGCTGGGCATTAAGGAACATGACGACGCCTATACAATGCGAGCCTTGCTGTGGGTGTCATCCCCGGGATGACATGGGTCAGAAACGTCTACTACGCCCGAAAGCGGATACATGTCGCGTGCGCGTTGCAGACGACGCTATCAACCTATGGTTATCTGTCAGTGGAAGAATATTTAACCCACACATTGCATGGTGGCGTCTCCTAAAGATGCCATCCCCTTCTTTTACCGCTGTCATGCCGCCGAATTTGCACTGCGCCGCGTACACAAATGCGTGGGCGTGAGGTTTGGCCGCGCGGAACGAACGGCCGCGTCGGCATCGAGCGACCCACATCAGTGGCGTAATCTGTGGAGCGAATTTCAAGGCCTTACGTGTATAATTTTAGTTGAGGAGTATCAGTGGAGGACATGCGATGCCCAGGTGTGAAGCCACAAATGCAACAATGCGCTATGCCTATAACGTGCGAAGTGCTTATCCTGCCCGTTGGATACGATCTGGGTCGGGGCGCCTCAAGCCGCTTACTGTGCCGGTTACTCTCCAAACTCCAGCCTTGCGAACCGACTCATCAAGTTATTCCTTGTCGCACCGCCATCATCAATACACTGTGCTACAAGGAACGCCTGATCTGCCCATTTTCTTGTCGCATCGTCATTCTCCTGCAAATAATAGTCCACGGCACGATTGAAGAGGGTGCATGCAAGCCATTCGAGCTCTGTCTTGGGGTAGCGCTCGAGTTCCTTGATGTAATCATCAGCCGGGTCTGCAGCGTCTGCGTTCTTCGCAGGGTCAGATGATAGCGATGGTGTGTGCAGTCCAACTTTTGCAGTGATAGAATGGACGGTCTGAACGGACTTTTTAAAATGAATCAATAGGTAAGAAGGTAAATGGGACTTACGTTTTGCTGCTTCGCTGCCATGTGCGTTACTTGCTCAATGCACTTGAGACTGGCTTTCTCGTCATGCTCAAGTGAAATATTGAACAGGCACCGGAGCCAACGAGCCAGCTTCGTTATGTCCCGGTTTGGTTGTCGGCACGTCAGATTGATGATCTTCTCAAGAACAGACAGTACTTCTACGAATCTTGTCAGTTCGGTTCTCACGCAACTCAGCTTCAGGTCTTACTTGTCTGGTACTTCTTATCTACGCCCGCTTTCAGAATGCACCCATGTATAACCAGGACAAGATCTGCCAACGTTTCGTAGTGGTCTGGACTCTTGTACTTCCAACATTGGTCGAAAAGCTTGTCGAGTTCATCCCATCTTTGAAGCTTGAGCACAGCTTCAAGCTCCAGCTTGACAACTTGGAGGTGTTTGGAAATAATGTCGGCTTGAGACGGTCCACTGAGTTTGTCTATACCTTCTGCTGCAGCTTGTCGAAATTCTTGACTGTGTTTGCGGGTCTCCAGGTAGTAATGAATCTAAACTAGTCAGCTATTGGTCAATGCAACAACAAACGCGACTGACGCTCTGCTCAGTGTTATCCTCTGCGCGTGCCAGAGTGGTGTAGGTGCATGCAGCGAGGAATTCGCAGAACACTAGTCGGAGGCAGAGGTCACCGTCTGCCTCTGGCTGGGTCTTCCCCTTGAGCAGTTTGATGAACTCGATACAGCAGCTCAGCAACCTGACCAGAGACCCTGGTGGCATCTCCGCACAGTACTTGAGCGATATGTTATAAGCATTCTTGGAGAACCATTCAAATTCCACGGCTGTAAACAGTTCTTTAGCCGGTGTGCTCGGCCTCGTACGGGACGCTTTAGCTTGAAGGCATGCTGGCGAGTGTTATGAAAAAGTCTTCAACCAGAAAGAGTGCTGCCACTCACCTCCTTCGAAGACATTGCAAATCTGTCTCAAAACACCGGTGTCAATCTTGCCGTCCTTGATAAGTTCAGACTCTAGCATACGAGTGGCAGACCTGGTCACCTGTCAGCAACGTAAAGCAACTCCAGCGAACGACTTACCGCAATAGCGCAGGAAGATTGATCTCTGCTAGCGCATTATGCTCGTACTTTTCAAGCACCTTCTCCAGAGCACGAATGGCCTGCCTCTTGTTCCCCGCACTTTGAGCCTCCATAACACAAGCATAAAGCAGAGTAGCATCTTTCGCAGAACTCCGACAAACATGATCGAGACATTCAGCCGCAAAGTCTTCATCCCCGCCTCGGAGACCAGCCTTATACATCAAATATCTCGTCACAGGTTCATCCTTGCCACTCTCTGGCATCTTGTTATGCACTTCCCTCGCGCCCTCATAGTCATGCGTCGCCAGTGCACACTGTATAATTTTTCTCGCAACTTTCGCTTTATTTTGGACCCCAGCTCTCTCGAAGATAGCATGGAGGCACATCCGACACCACGCCTCAGCCACATGATATTGCTCCTGGCTAATTGCGGCCCCTACTTTCTTCCACAACAAAGTCTGCGCAGCATGTGTGGCAGGAGCAGAAAGGCGAATCTTCGAGTTCTGATCGACGGTATCGAAGAGCTCCTGGAGCTGCTCGAGCGTATTGTCAGCGAGATTATTGTTTGTTCCAATCCAGATACGTGTGATGACAGCTTTTTCGATCCAGGACTGGTTTTCTTCTCGAAAGAGCCGAACGTCGATTAAATCCTCGAGCGCTTTGCAGGCGGTGGTGTTGCTGTGATCTTTCAGCTTGTGTATGTAATGCATGATGGTCTTGAAATTTGTGTCATTCAGCACAACGGTGCGTATCATGCGCAAAAGGACGTTGTAGAACTCGGTTGTGTCGAAAGTTTGAGCTTCGGATAAGAGTTCGATCTTCAGCAAGGACACCATCATTTTGTCTCCAAAGTCGGTTTCCATCAACCTCATCATTTGCCATGCCTTCTCTTGTGTTTCCATGGTCTTGGTCTTCATATATGCGTTGACTGATGGTATCATTAGCTGTCGTCTTCCGGTTGTGTATGATGTGTCTTCTTACCAAGACTCTGCATGATGCTAAGTCTCAGCTCACCAATCTCGGGGCTGAGCATGTCCAGATCTTGCTCTCCAAGGACATCAAAGGCGCGTTCTAACCACCTCGCGGCAATCTCGTAATCGCGCTTCGCAAGGGCGGCTTTTCCAATCTCATACAGTAGATCAGCAAGCTGCTCAGTCGTGGTAGCGTTGAAGCTTTTCCCAAACTCTTTACACTTCCTAAACATGTGCTCTGCCATGTCCATACGACCACTACGCCATGCCTATACGTACGTCAATTCGATGGCGCATCTCAGGGGCGTCGCATCTGATAGTTCACTTACCAGAGTTGTACGCACAGCAAAATACTGCGCCCTGAACCCATCTGCAAGCTCCCCGTCTCTCTCGTCCCCACCTTCGTCCCGCTTACCCAAAACATCTTCGTAATCGGCGGCGCGTTCAAGAACTTTTGTTGCAATGCCCAGTTCATTCCCCTCAATGCATACTCTGGCCGTCTTCAGGGCAACCTTGATCAGTCGAATACAGTTCTTCCTTTGCCGCCCCTTCGGACCCCGGCCGCCAGCTGAATCGAGCAGCATGAACGCGTAAGCACGCAGAAAAGGCAGAATGTGAAACTTGTGCGCTGTCGCATCTTCCGATTTTGCATCGATGTCAGATTCGTCTTTGCGGCGTAAGCGTGTAGCTTGGTTCCAGAGCTCAGTTCCTAGTTTATCGAGTTCATCTTGCTTCGCGGTGAGGGTAGATGAGGCTTGGAGAGGGAGGCCGCGCATCTGCGTTTGGAGTTCACTGATGAGCGTCGCGTCATTGTTACCAGTTTCGATGCGTTCGCTGAGAGTTGACGCGAATGCTAGAAAGAAAGTGAGCGTCATGCGCAGGGTAAGTATAAAGGATAACACTCACTCAGAACCGCCTTCAACTTCTTTTCGCGCTCTAACTTTGCTGCTGGTTGCGCGTGAGACATGTTGCATGAAAGACGTGGAGAAGAGACAGGTGGAGGGTGACGTGTGGAAAGTGAAGTCGCGACCTGCCATTGTCGAAGGTAACTTCACCTACACGTGAAAAGATTGGGAAGGAGCAACACGCGAGTGCATCTGAATTAGAGACAGAAGAACAAATACAATCAGACAAAAATGCAAGCAATAGGATATACATGTTGAAGTAAAGCCTCTTGCCGCAATCCTAATTACCTTCACAACAGATTGTGTACATACTTTTTCTGGTGGATGCATCTAGACATCCAAGCCCAATGTTGCTACATCCTCAACTCATTACAAACTACAGTTCAATGCCGCCGGTGAGCAGTGAACTTGCCATAAAGGTTCTACGAAGCTGGTAGCGACCCCGACGTAGCCTCAGTGATAGGAAGGAAGTTACCCACAATCAACGCCGGTCTAGTCACAGTCAGTCTAAGCTCCCATGCAAACACCGACCACCACTTACATATTCCAAGCATCTCGCTTCACCGTAAATGAAAAGCAGCACCGTATCTCTGGATCCTTGGAATGCGGATCTGGATTCTTCAGGGAGCAACTCGTCAGAATAGCTTTCTGCGTATGATCGAATGCGATGGCGCCAAACTTCTCCCAATACGATACCAGCGATGGTTCGGCAATGATCTCGTGCAGAGCGATGTTACCCTTTGTTCTGGTTAGCTTGCTCTATATTCAAGCGATAGTTGTTCTAGCTTACGTCTCGCAACTTCGACATCGGTACGTGGATGAGCCGCGCCATTTCCTTGTTGCCGCGATATATCTCGCCTGTTCTTCTCCAGCAGCACGCAGGTATCGCCATGCTAGCGAAGACGCGGTCGTACTCCATTAAGCTCTTGTCGAACCACATCTCAATGCGTACTAGATCGACGTCCGTCAGGCTCTGCATTCGCTCGCGGAACTTGGGCCGGAAGCGATCTAGTTGGCGAAGTACGCGGATGCGAGATGCCTGCTGCAGGTTTTGTTCCATATACTGGTTTAATCTGGCATACCCCTTGACGTAGTTGAAAGGTTTTAGGAGCCCTGCGTCGACTTTCGCTTTGAGTAGTTTGTTCATGCGCTCTTCAGGACTGTCGTTTCCAGCAGGGTCGGCGGCTGTGACGAGGTATCTTTCTCTGGCCTTGTCAATGGGGACCCCAGCTGCTTGTCGTGATGTAGCATTCCCAGCGGCATTCTGCGCGGGAGGTGGAAGTAATTGGGGCGGTCTTGATGTGCTTGCACTGTAGGCAGAATTGCTATTCAGAGAGTCCATCTGGTTCATGAGTGAGGCATCGGTGAAGAGACTGTGGAAGTCATTGCCTCCATAGAATGCACCGTCATCCATGAGACTGTTGTTGAGGAAATCGTTGAGCAGGTTATACTCATTGCTAACTTCTGAGGTATTGAACATATATGAAGGGTGGAATTGCATGTCCTGAAGGTTGTTCTGAGATGAGAGCAAACCATCGTAACCCAAAACTCCCAGGAGTGTCAGTGACGATTACGATGTGGAGCTGAGGGGAAGTGTAACTTACAAGGCTGACTACCAGCCGTCAAAGCAGGCAATTGTGGCGCGGATACGGGGTCGTTTCGGGTACCTGATGTTGTGCTGGCATCCCTATTAGGAGGTACTGGATGCGTGGCCAGGTTAAGCCCTGCATCCGGAACTGGTGGAGCGGCCGTTGATGCTGCATCGGAGGGAGTTGACTCGACCTGAGTGGGCTGACTCTGTCCATCACCATTCTCTGGCTCAGACTTGGACTTCTTAACACCTTCACGCGGCTCGTCGTGACAGAGGTGTCCAATATTTCGTTTTACACAGCGTGTGCATGGTCGCTCCTGCAATGGGCGAAGGCACAATCAGCTTGCGAATAGATGATGCCTCATTTGGTGCACTTACGAGATCACAGGTCATGTGCTGATTGGTTTGAGTCAGCAAGCAGGAAAAATTGTCTTACATGCGAACACATGGTATGTATCGAATGCTGGGGATGTGGGTGGAGCTCACCGAACGTCTGCAGTAGATGCATGCTACATGGAAGCATATAGGTTAGCAGGGTTGCGGACGCCTTCGCGGCTACACAGCGTCGATGGCTTACCATGGTTTACTTTTCTACGCTTTTTTGGTGGCTTTGCAGGCGCCTCAGAATTGGTCGCATTGGGTTTGCTCTTCGCAGGAGAATGGGCTTTGGACACGTCATTATCTGGGGCAACTTTGTCCTTGTCTGTTTCTTTGGATTCGGCCATGTTGTCTGGCGAAGCTCCATTTGATCGTCGTGCAGCTTCCGTCATCAAGTGTGGATAGTGGGTCGGTGTCAGAGCCGGGTGCTTTTCTTGGAGACGCGCAGGTTCATGTGTGTTACGACAGGGGTCTCGCCAGGCACTGAAGCATCGGAAAGAGCAAAGAAGGTCGCGATGCGCCAGAGACACGTTCTTTGGTGGCACAGCAGAGCCTGTAGTCGCGGTAGACGAGTGGCGGAGAGGTGTGGGTTTAGAGGCACAAGGGACAGGTGAATGTCTGCGGTCGCGTGCTTTGCCGAACCGAACCTTGGAAGGAAGATCCCGGAGGCTGCCAGGACATCCAATAGCGGAGAAGTGCACCGCGAGAATTTCTTAGCGGCAATTTTGACAGCTTCCCGCTGCGAGACGCTAACGATCTCGGATGGTTTCCAGGTTATGCGAAGAGCGACGTGCTTGACGTGTTGTAGTTCGCACAAGTTTCGCATAGAAGGGCTGTAGCTGCAGAAGTGGCTCCGCTCTGCCGAGAGGCCATGCCAAGGTGGTGGAGCCAATCACTTTCTAGTGTTGCTACACTACATAAATGGACTCGGCCGCAAATGCACATTTTCCGATGACCATACTGTCGGAATCGCAGTTCTAAAACTGGGAGTAAATTGATAGAGATGCCCTCCAACGCCATACACTTGCCCTGGTATTCATCCCACCCCCGTGTGCAGTACGCCTGCACAGAAGCCAACCCATACGCCGAGTCATGCATAACTATGGAAAGAACAAAAACCGCTGCGGGACCTGCATGTCGACGCTTCAAAGAGCAGCGTACTGCACTGCGCTGGCGTGCTTAAACAGGACATGGTCTAGTGCAGCCTGCGCGTCCCTCATGGCCGTATCGAGACCCTCTACTTGTGTATGGTTGCCCTGCATACTCTCCAGGCTGCGTCGCAATTGTCCGAGCACCGGTGCAAGGTCGTCGTTAGGCGTATCGAGGAGGGACAAGTCTACTGGTTGTGATGGCCTCAACTGTATATCGTCTGGACCGTCTCTGTTCGTCGTCGCATCGCCTTGGCCTTGGAGTAAGGGGTGGAGCTACAGCAGGTAGGTTAGCGACACATTCAGCTTGTCTAGAATAGACCGACACGTACCCGTCCGTGCTTCTTCTGGTGTTTCCACTCGGTCCTCCAGCTCTTGACGTTCTTCTTCAGAGCGTCCAGATTGTCTTCGTCCTTGTTCAGCAAGTGCTGAGCAATCTTGGCTTGTTCACTGAGCAGCTGCTTCGCATGCCGGACTGTCGTGGCCTCTCGTGATACTTGGGCATTGCGCTCCGTGAGCTTATCAATGTTGAAGTGGATGTCTTTGGCCTGGGGAGGCATCCGCGACTCAGCTAGTTGACGTGCCAGCTTCCGCACAAGGGGATTGAGTGTGTTGTGTGCGGCCATGATCCTGCGCTCGTCTCGCTGTGTCTCGGCGATATCCTTCTTCGCATTGCGTACCACGGCCGTCATCTGCTCCAAGACCTGAGGCGGCAGTTGCGGCCATGTGTCCATCAGCTCTTGCGGTATCCTCTTCGTCTTAGTCTCCAACTGCGCGTACTGGTTGCGCGACTCGTCTTCGGCTTCGGCGATGTCGTCGGATTTGCGCTTGCGAGGTTTCGATGGTTGTGTTTGTGCGCCCACAGCTATCGAGAGCTCGTCCTCGACTTCTTCTTGCGCCTGTTTCTTCCTAGGTTTGCCCTTCTTCGCCGCAGCCGCCCTTGGTGCGGGCTTCGTCTTTGACTTCACAACACCACTAGAATTGCGGCTGCCTGGAGGCCGGCCTCGCCTTTTCTTCCCATTCGCATCACTGAGACGCGCCTGTCATAGTCAGTATGCGCATAGAATAGCGGCATGTTGATGCTTATGCTTACCATGACGTTGGGGTCGAGTTGGGACGCGTCTGGTTGGTGTTGACACTCGCGTCTGGTGGGGAAGGAGCCGAGTAGCGCGGGCGCCTCTTCACGTGCGGACAGTCACTCTGGCCCCTCACCCTTCACTCTCCACATTCATCAACCTCTCATCTCAAGACGCGTGATACGTTCAATTGTACTTTCTCATCATCTCAATACTGACATTTATATACACCTCTAGCTATACTGAGCCGTCTTCCTCACTTCATCAAGTCACCCACCATCAATTCAACACACTAGATTCTCGCTCCTTAAAACTGAGAGAAGAACTTCCAGACCTCACCAGGTGTAAAACTTTGTGGTCCAACATCGTTACCCGCGTCTCCGGGCAGCGCAACATGATCTCCATCGAAAGCAGTCCACTGTGTCGGGTACTTGCACCCATCGTATACCGTCTTGATTCGCTGCCTGCTGTTTTTCGCCGGCTCTGGCGCGTTCTTAGCCTGGCACCCGTTCAGTCTCACGAAGCGGTCTCTAATCTCCCTTCCTGAAGCGATGGGCAGGACGCTGTCTTTCACTCCATGCTGCTGGTACAAAGCAATTGGATCGTTTCCGCCGGCGCAGCCTGAAAGAGTTGCACCAGATAGCACAGCGATGGCGCGGTACTCCTTCGCACGACTGCATGCTAGACTGAAACTCATAGCACCGCCATAGGAGAATCCGAGGGAGAAACGTTGTGTCTCGTCTACGCAGAGATCATCCTCGACTTGCTTGCGAATGGTATCGAGGAAGGTAATGTCTTCGCCGTTCTGGTTTCCCCAGCCTTTGTTTATGCCGTCAGGTGCGATGAAGATGGCCGTCTCGTTTGCGAGAGCCGCAAGGCCATAGTACGGTGCGCTACCGCCGGAGACAGATGTCATGTCGCCATTCAACCAGTGGAGACCGAAGATGAATTTGTAGGGATGGGAGTTGTCATAGTTCTTCGGGATTCGGAGGGTCCACTGGCGTTGCTTGCCGTTCACCGTCGTCCTTTGGACACCGTTGGTCAACCTTGGTGACTTGCCGCAACCCGCTGTGACAGCGGAGGCGTGATCAAGTATTGCGAGAAACAGAAGTGCGCCAAGTGCGAAGAAAGAGGTTGGACGAAACATGGTCGCTGATCGCTGGACTCGATTGTTGCGTTGGCAGTCAGTTGGTCTCGCAACGGACGCTTAAGTATGTTTTCATCTTCTGCGCTCCATTCAATGATAATCTCCATACTGTCAACCCCATCAAACGATCTCCTTGGTATACTAGGGGTTGACTGTCGTGAGTTCTGCTTTAGGCATCAACTCCAGACTTTCATCTCGAATACTAGGGGTTGACTGCCGTTATTATCTGCCGTACGAGAAAACCAAGACCTCTATACAATTCAAAGGAGGTCATTCTCCATACCTTTACCTTCATGCCCAATGGACATTGTACAAGTCGCGTTTTCGCCAGTCCACAGGTATTTCAGGTAAATGATGCCAAGCGAAAAAACTCGCGGCACTTCGTCCAGGACAAGACAGGTGATACACTTGTGGACCAGTGTTGCATCATGCACGGTGATTTGCTTTCCCCATGGGGTAGTACGCCTAGTATCCTGCAATGCGCCGAATTACGGCATTCTTTCACTCGGATGCCAACCGACTATTCGACTAGTGCAAGTAACACAAGAAAATCGTTGCCGGACGAGGGCTCGTACATATACTATTCTCCATGCGGAAACTCTCTCCACTTTCTGACTTGGCTGCTGGCTCAGGGTAGAAAGGCATAAAGACCCGCGGCTGTTTACATATGCAGCATCCGTCATCACGACCTTACACTTTAGCCCCTAGAACCCAATACAACGTTCCTTCCAGTATAACATACCATGTCGGCCAACTTTTCCGGGGCCATCACATGTTCGACCCTTCTTGGCTCGTCAACATAACGCCCTAATAAGAGCCATCAGTTCTATTAATGGCAATTCACAGAAACACAAATGCAGTTAAGGTCACTGAAAACATCCAATATTCTGAGCCGAGTCTTTGAAGACTACCCGCCCGGTTCTGTTGAGTTCGCTTCGCAACATTTTAATGTCGATCTACCATTATAGGCACCCAAAGCATGTACAAGATCTCAACACCCGGCTTACCCGCCGTCAGGATACAGCCAATCCCGGAAGAAGACTGTTTTCCCCTCACCAATATCATGAATACAGCAAAACTCAGCGCATGTTGGCGATTTGCGCGAAAACATATGAGCTACATCCACCGGCAAAAATGCCCCATGGGGTACTGACACCACGTTATACAGCCCGCCGGGTATATAGTCAATACAAGCGATGAACTACACATTGCTTCTTGAGGCTAAGCTTTGGAGATGATCCGAACCGCTGAAAACCAATGACCTTGTGGCGTTCAAGACGGAATGGAGGTACTTAAGCTGAGGTTACGATCGATCTACACGACCCCAGTATCAATCAAACACCCCTTCCAATACTAGAAGAAGGTTGCAGCGATGTTGTTCAAGCTCCTGGCAGCGACAGCTGCATTGACCAGCAATACCATTGCACACCCTCTTTCCTGCAACAGCTCTGCCCCCCAACCCTGGGGCTTTTTTACAAACAACACCATCTATCAAACCTCGGGCGACGAGGGAATAACTTACCCACGCTATACTGAGCTCCAAGACGGAACAATCATCGCTACAGCATCCCTCTCCGGTCACAACCCAAACTACTTCCCGATCTTTGAGTCCAAAGATGGCGGTGCATCCTGGGAGCACGTTTCCGATCTCCACGACACAGTCAACGGTTGGGGATTTAGTGCCCAGCCCGCGCTGACGGAATTGACAGAACCAATGGGTGGCTACCCAGCTGGTACTATCCTGGGGGGCGGAAACAGCTGGAGTAACAACGGGACAAGGATCGATCTCTATGCTAGCAGAGACGGTGCGCGGACGTGGGAGTTCGTAAGCCATGTTGCTGAAGGCGGGAGGCCGAATACTACAAATGGCGCGACGCCAATCTGGGAGCCGTACTTCTTGTAAGTACCGCAATTCATACCTATCCAACACCACTTGTGCTAATACGTAACGCAGACAGTACCAAGGTCAGTTAGTAGCCTACTACTCGGACCAACGCGACCCCCTGCACGGCCAAAAACTCGCCCATCAAACCTCCACCGACCTAAAAACCTGGGGCCCAGTTGTAAACGACGTCGCCTACGAAGAGTATCTCGCTCGCCCAGGTATGACGGTAGTAGCCTTTATTCCCCCGCTCAACCAATGGATTCTCGTCCACGAATTGCCCATCGGAAATTCGTCTTCGTACGGCTCGAACTACCCAGTTTACTACGTCATGGCCGATAGCCCGCTAAACTTCCGCAACAGCGTTGGCAGACCCATCGTTATTAACAACAGTACGGTGCCGAATGCAAGTCCGTATGTGGTCTGGAGCCCGCTTGGTGGACCAAACGGTACGATTATAGTAAGTGATGCGGATCGAAGGCAGGTGTATACGAACTCTGCAGGTGGCGCGTTGGATAAGTGGGAGGAACATGCTACGCCGGCCGGTGCGGTGTACAGTCGGGCTATTCAGATCTTTAAGAAGAGGCCGAATCATCTGATGATTTACGGAGGTGAGACCTATGACGATAGGGGTACGGGCATTCACACGCCGTTTTCGGCGACGGTCGTGAGGCTGGATGAGGTGCTTAAGGCGCCGGCAACGGAGTAAGAGTTGGCATCTGGTTGGCGGTCGACTCCAGGACGGTGGATTGTGTTATCCTATCATAGGTTATAAGTAGCATAAGCCTGTCTATCGCTATTGTAGCTCAATGGCGATTCGTCCTGGTCTTGCGTATGGGATACCATACTCTACCTATTGCTCTTATTGTGTACCTCGTGTCATTTCGACCTACAATATTTGATAGTCGGGGTGTTTCAAATCTCCTTGAGTACATGAGCCAGAGGCTTTGACGGTTTGTTGAAAGTACTGTCTTGTCTGAAATGTGTGAGCTGTATAACGACGGACGCTAGACTTTCATGATATGTCGGCATAGCTTACACCATACTATAGATGGGACTGGAATGTTTAAGATGAGAAAGATTGTAGACAGGGGCAGAGCAATGAAAGTGGCAGAAAGAATTTGGGCGTCGAAACCTTCTTCTGTCGGTGTAGCAATCTTTAGCATTTCCAAGCGTCTGGAACCGTGGGTCTTGTGGAGAAAGATGCCATAGATGGCGACCGCGTGCTACGACCCATTCGAGTCCGCCTGAACCGTGCAGTAACAAAGGAAGTGACGGATTCAAGACGGATCTGGACGCCAGGCTGGATGCAACGGCGTAACTATACAATGTAAAGCTCAAATTTGTTGTTCTGGGTGGGACGTTATCCAGTTTCGATGATGACGGTGACGGAGTGAGTACTTAGAGTTGACAGCCACAAATCGTACTAATGCAAGAGAGAGATACAAGTACATCATTCTGGGAAGGATGGAAGAAGTGTGACAGGTGTTTGTGCTATGCAAATCAAGCCATAGCATGGGATTCTTCTTGCTCGAGTCAGGGCATGATCCACTGAAGCTTCTCGACCAGTCACACCGCTTGCGCATATACACGGTAGAGTTCGTGAGGCTCCGTGTGGAGTCGTGATATGGAGACATTTAGCTAATGGCTTGGCTTGTGTCTTGTAGTAGTGTATTGGATCGGAGCTCTAGAATGTCGGAGGCAGGCGAGTGGTCCGATGTAGGCGCTATGATGTTGTAGGATTCAGCGATGTGGTCCACCTCCGATCCCAAGATCAGTGCGCACTGATATGATGTCTGGCTGGGTAGTCATAAGCCCCAAGCGTAATTCACAATGGAGATGAGGGACGATAGTATCACACAGAATTGAACACCAACAAAAGGCCGCTCGGCACAACAAGACCTGCTAAGCATACTATCCCGCAAGTGCTTGATGGTGTTGGAAGTCGCCGCCGGTTCTGCCCGAGGCGGCCCCCAACCCGCGTGTGAGCACCCCCAGGTCTCCTCCAAGATCCACCCAACAGCAAGGCCTGGAGAGCCTGGAGAACGGGGGAGCACGAGGCTGGAGCGGAACATGTCGGACGGCGTACTTTAGTAAGGTATGCTCCCTCTGCACTATTGTACCGGGTCGTCCGAAAACGGTATGGGCGCCGAATCAAGCGTTTACCCCCGATGGCGATGGGAATTGGCTTTTCACACCATACCAACCCTTGCCTCCGGTTCCGATGGGACGCATGGACTTTCGGGTCTTGGACTCTTGCAATTCGCGCCGTTTCTTGACACATCACGAGGGCTCTCGACGTCATGGCGCGCAGAGTTTGGTATTGGTTGGGCGTTCGAGAAGCTGGTAGCGGGAGACAACAGAACTGGTCGCGAACGTTGAGCCATGCGCCTCTTCCGCGCCTTCCGTAATGCTTGTCTTCATGTCAAACTTGGCGCTCTTGAAACCAGCATCTGCGGTATCTTGTTGTGGTATGGAAAGGCTTCCTCGAGACGAACACACGCGCAACCTTCCACACCTGGCCGGAGAGTATATCGGCAAGAATATTGGATCCAACCGCAGAGCCGCATGTGGGCCGCTAGAAGCTTCTTTGCAGCCAAGCTCCACCAAGACGGTCGGTCCTTTGCTTGTTTATCTCCACCCGCCTTACTCTTCCTGGGCAGCCCATGATAAGTCTGCAACAACCGGCCATGCACTGGTGCTTACTACCCCGGCATTGCGATCCGCGAAAGACAAATTTTTTGCCGCGTTCGTGCCATGGAGACTCCACGCGTACGTCACGTCACGTTGATGGCGGGATGGGGAGCGCCATGGGGAGGTTCTCCATGGGCATGGGTCGTCTCCACTGGGGTTTATAAAGGGCGGAGACTCGTCCGCTTGTGAGGGGTTGTGAGATACCAGCCTTTTGCTGCAGACCTTCTCCCTCTACCTTTCTCTATCCTTTCTGCTGGTCCCTTGCTGATCACTGCCCACCATGGACGAGAAGGACACCAAGGTTGTTGAGATGCACGACACGTCGTCGCCGCAACAGCCAATGCAAAACGAAAAGGTCGATAACATTGCGGTCGCTCCTACACCAGATTACTCCGCACCCAAGGCCAAGACCGAACAGCTCGAA